GCTCACCCGACACAATCCGTTGATTGACTGGGTTTTGGGCAGCATCGAATTCCGGACGACATCTCATGGAATGCCATCGACCCCTCCGACGTCACTTCCGTCCTCGGATATCCCTCCTCCGACGGAAACCATACCTCCTCCGACTACATCCGTACCCTCCGCTGATAACACTGTTCCTAATATATCCCTAATCAATGCAGTTGCCTTTTGCCGGGCCTGCAAGTTAGAAGGATCGGTCCAGTTCAGTATATACCTTCGACCATCCGGTGTCGATCTCCGATCCGCTTCTCTATTGTCCGATCCTCCGGATCTATCCCAAATTCCTTCGGACTATCACGAGTTTGCGGATGTCTTCGACAAGGGAAAGGCTGGTCAGCTTCCTCCACATCGTCCTTATGATCTGAACATAGATCTGGAAGAAGGAACTAGTCCTCCCCTCGGAACTATCTATTCTCTATCCCCGGTCGAGCTTGCAGCCCTCCGGAAGTTTCTTGATGAAAATATTGCCTCTGGACTCCTCCGCTCCTCATCCTCTCCTCACGGAGCTCCGGTCCTATTTGTCAAGAAAAAGGACGGATCCCTCCGCCTTTGTGTGGATTTCCGTGGACTCAACCAGATCACTAAGAAAGACCGATATCCATTACCCCTCATTGCCGACCTATTAGACTCTCCGAGCCGTGCTAAAGTTTATACCAAAATCGACCTCCGATCCGCTTATCATCTCGTCCGGATAGCGGAAGGGGACGAATGGAAGACTGCCTTCCGAACGCGCTATGGCTCCTATGAATGGTTGGTGATGCCGGAAGGTCTCACTAATGCTCCAGCAGCATTCCAGCGCTTTGTCAATAGCGTGTTTGCTGATATGCTGGATGTATGCGTTATCGTATATCTGGACGACATCCTCATCTATTCCCATGACCTTGCGTCCCACAAGCAACACATCCGAGAAGTACTCCGTCGACTCCGTAAACATCGTCTCTATGCCAAACCCGAAAAATGCGAATTCCATTCCACTTCCGTTGAATATCTCGGATATCTCCTATCTCCGGACGGCTTAACTATGTCGTCCGATAAGATCCAAGCTATTACTGACTGGCCGGAACCTCGGAAAGTCAAGGATATCCAATCCTTCCTCGGATTCGCAAATTTCTATAGACGGTTTATATTCAACTACTCGGATATCGTGGTTCCGTTAACACGGCTTACACGCAAGGATGCTCCGTGGAACTTTTCCGATGAATGTCGGAAATCCTTCGAGGAACTCAAGAAAGCCTTCACTACGGCTCCGGTGCTTACGCACTGGATGCCGGATGTTCCTATAGTTGTGGAAAACCGATGCCTCTGACTACGCTATAGCTGGAATACTATCCATAGTATGTCCGGACTCAGAGCTTCGTCCGGTAGCGTTCTACTCTCGAACGCTAACCGCTCCGGAACTTAACTATGACACCCACGATAAGGAACTTCTAGCTATATATGAAGCTTTCCGGACCTGGCGACATTATCTAGAAGGCTCGGCCGAGCCTGTAGATGTTGTCACGGACCACAAAAACCTTGAGTACTTTGCCACTACCAAACTCCTCTCTCGCCGTCAGGCCCGCTGGTCGGAATTCCTCCATCAGTTCAATCTTGTCATCCGCTTCCGTCCCGGAAAACTCGGAGTTAAACCGGATTCCCTTACTAGACGCTGGGACGTCTATCCCAAAGAGGGGGATAAGGACTACGCTCGAGTTAACCCTCATAACTTCCGTCCGGTATTCACGTCCGAACAGTTAGCTTCGTCCCTACGAGCCTCAACCTTAGCAACTCCGGTTCTAGAGCAGCTGTTCTAATGGATATTGATGACCTTCGGAAAGACATCCTGACCGCACTTCCTAATGACCCTATTGCAACCAACCATCTTCCAGTACCTTCAGATCCGAGATGGACAGTGGACGATAGGGGTTTCCTCCGTTGCGACAACCGTATATATGTCCCAGAATCCGATAACCTTCGACTTCGCGTCCTCCGTAATACTCATGATCACCCCTTATCCGGACATTTTGGTCAAAACCGAACCCTAGACCTCATCCGACGCGAGTATACATGGCCGGGTATACGCACCTATGTTAAGGACTACGTCCGGTCCTGCACTACCTGCGCCCGAGCCAAGGTTCCGAGACATAAACCCTACGGATTGCTCAAACAACTACCCATACCGGAAAAGCCTTGGAATTCCATATCCATGGATTTCATAGAGCAACTTCCGGACTCATCAGGCTTTACAGCCATCCTCGTTATCATAGATCGTTTATCCAAACAAGCAATATTTGTTCCGACTCACGATACCATTACCTCTCCGGATCTCGCTCGTCTATTCCTACTTCATGTGTTTTCCAAGCACGGAGTTCCGTCCCATGTCACCTCGGATCGCGGTACAGAGTTTGTATCCCACTTCTTCCGATCCTTAGGAAAAGCATTGGATATGGTCCTCCACTTCACATCCGGATATCATCCGGAAGGGGATGGACAAACCGAGCGTGCCAACCAAACCCTGGAACAATACCTTTGGATATATTGCAATTATCAACAGGACAACTGGTCGGAACTACTTCCCTTAGCAGAATTTGCCTACAATAACGCTCCAAGTGCTACTACCGGAGTATCGCCTTTCTTTGCTAATAAGGGTTATCATCCAAACATATCCGTCCATCCGGAACGCGATCTATCCTCCATCCGCGCTCGCGACTATGCTTTAGACCTCGACGACCTTCACCAATTCCTTAGAGAAGAAATGGCTCACGCCCAAGAAAGATATCAAGGACCTGCGGACGCTAAACGGAAACCTGCTCCGGATATCAATATCGGAGACCAAGTCTTTGTCAAGGCTAAGTACTTCCGGTCCACTCGTCCGTCTAAGAAACTCTCGGAAAAGAATCTAGGTCCGTTTGAAGTCATATCCCGTCCGGGTACCCATTCCTTTACCATCCGACTTCCCGAATCCATGAAATCCGTCCACCCCGTCTTCCATGTCTCACAGCTAGAACCATCCGTTCCGAACACAATTCCCAATCGGATCCAGCCTCCTCCACCTCCGGTCGAAGTCGACGGAGAACCAGAATATGAGATATCCGAAATCCTAGACTCTAAGCTGGACCGTCGTAGAAGACAATGCCAACTCTTATACCTCGTCCGATGGTCCGGATACGAAGGAACAGACGAAGAGACTTCATGGCTACTAGCCACGGAACTCGGAAACGCGTCCGATCTAGTCTCGGATTTCCACAACTGCATATCCAGACAAACCCGGTCCTATTGCTATACAATGAATATACAAAGCGGATATACAAGTACATTAGTAGCAGAGAAGGCAGATCCGAAAATCCTCAGCCATCCATCTCCATGTCCCCACCCGATCCGGAGTCGGACTCTGCTGGCGCTTCTTACCCTTGCCTCTTGGAGATGGGTTCTCAGCAGCGCGCTGCCTCTTCTTAGACGTGGAATCCGTAACGGTTCCAGGTCGTCCGGGACAAGGAGCCTTGTCCTTCCGGCACGCGTTACAAGCCTTGATCTATCCGGATGTTAAGAGTCACGGATCCGAAGATTCAAGGATGACTTACCAAGGAATTGCTATCCGCATCGGACCACAGACAGGCCCGACCCTTCTTAGCGCAGCGGGTACAAGCCCCATCCTTATCCGCTGAGATGGCGCGAGACTACGGATCCGATAAGGGACGGATCCGATAGAACAAGTCATAACTCACCATTTCCGCCACTATAGCCCTGCGCCTAGCCTCCTCCGCTTCCCTTCGGGCCTCAGCCCGTTCAATCTTCTTAATCCCTGCCAAGCGCTTCCGTTCCGCCTCTTCCGCTTGTTGCTTCAGCTTTTCAGCCTCTTCCTCCTTCTGAACCTCGGCCTCAGCAGCAGCCAGCGCGGCCTGGATATCCGCCAGAGTCTGCTTAGCGGTCTTCTTAGAGCCGGATCCGTTATCAGTCATGGTTGAGATAAGCTAGTGGTAGTGAAAAAGTAGGGAAAGGAAGGAACACCCTGCGACGCTTTGGCATCCGTATATCTGTCAGAATCCGAACTCAGCAACTTCTCCCATCAGCTTCTCCATTGTCTCGCACTCATACCATCCGTTCCGGATCGCTGATTCTTGTGCCTCTAGGGATCGGCCCTAAGGGGGGGATACTGTCATATACCATATATCCGGTTACAGATCCGATGATCTGGATCTCAGATCCGATCCAGATCCGATGAACATATCCGTCGTCCGGTCCACAGATCCGCTTTGATTCTTATTTCATTTCCTGTTCATATAACTCTAACTATCGTTCATCCCCTTTCGGTATTCCTGTACACCGGTATACCGGTTATCCTTTACTTCCGCTTTGCTTACTGATCCGCTACACTTACGAATCCGCTTTTACTTGTACTTCATTCCCGGTTCATGATTCGTGATCCATCCAACTTACCAATACGCTCCACTTAGACTTTGCTTATACTTTCGTACATAGCCTCGCACCTTTGCTTATTGATCATTCCATTAGCTATCCGTAGTATATAAACCTTTGTATATGCGCTGTAGTAGATCAGTTCGAATATCATCTTAGATTGCACTCATTCCGTCTGGACTCTGAGTCCCTCCGTTATCCATCCGGACTTGAGTACGCTACTCTTGTCTACTCCGAGACTTAGGATAGATTCCTATAGTCTACATATCCGCCTCTGTCTTCGGACAGTCCTCACCCGTTAGTTTCTAGTCCGGATCCAATCCGGATTGGCCGTTACTCTATATACGCGATACGTTAGCTCTCTGAAATAAGGGGCAAGACTCGGGAAAGGGGCACAGCGCACGAGCTGAGGCCGAAGCCCTTCGGATCCGATACTACTTGAGTACGGTCTTAACAAGGATACTGAGTCCGAATCTGGAAATGATGAGCAAGACAATGAGTTTGATGCACGGAGCAAACTCGACACCCTGAGGACAGTCTTGACAATTCCTCAGCCTGACGCGCCCATGCACGAAGTCCGCAAGGTGAGTTTACTCATGCTGCCACTCTCTTGGTTCGGTTGATGTAGCAGTTGAATCTCTAGGCACTAGAACTGGCGCAACAAGCTTATACTGCGGTTCGGTCTGAGTTGCGCGCTCTCAAGAAAGACCATGCGATGCTTCAGGCTGCTATCCCTGCACACAGCCGAAACCGAGTCCTTAAGAAGACATCAACCATCGACAATGACATTACCCGTGCGGGCAAGATGTACGCCATGCTCAACTACTTTTGGGTCATGAGCGGGCTCTTTCCGACAAAACCCCAGCCAGACGTTGATCCACGCAGCGATACGCGTTGGTCTTCGCCTGAAGCGAAGCTCAATGGTGCAATGGCCGAGCTATATCAGTGCATTCCCAAGGCTTTGCATAAACCGATGGAGACCTACCCACAGTTTGGATCAGTGGTATGTCCGATTCTCCCTCTGTCTGCGCATCAACCCTTACGCATGAGATACTCTAGTTTCGCGCTGCGGTTAGTTCCGAGAGGTCAAACATACTGCATAGTCTCAAGGACTGCGCTGGTCTTATCTTCTCTACTTTAAAACTCGACCCGACTGTCTTCACTGACGAGCCTGCCAAAAAGAAGGAGAATGCACAACTTCTCACTCTTTTAAAGAAGGATGTCGGTGCAGAAAAGTATACACGTCTAGCCCCCGTTCTGTTCATGGATCCTTCTGCTCTCGTTCCAGACGACTTCCTCAAAACACCAGTCATGGCCAAGGTGCGCGACGTTTTCAGCTGCTGTCGAGCAGTACATTAATACTAACTCCATCCCTCAGATCATCCGAGTCGAAATCTTCGGGAAGGCTTCACTGTCTGGGAAGACCAAAGGACATCCGAAGGCCAGGGGTCAGCGTTGGTCTATGCAGTGTGTCACGGAAGGTCTGATTGCAGGTGCTGCTATTGTGGTGAGTGCATTAGTATAATCTTCGAACTTTTGCATGCATGCTGATCTCGTCTCGTTCTCAGGCGCGTTTTTTGTTAACGCATGATCAAGAGCTCACCGCAACCGGACCAGCCACGAAAATTGACTATGCACAAGACTTTGATTTTTACTTGGAGCGACTATTCAAGCGCAGCCCATGGGCTACGAGTGTGATCAACTATTACAACCAGGAGGTTTTCGGCACGAGCTCAGTCCTAGCTACTAGTGGTATTGCTACTCTACCCTCTGCTTCCCAACCTCACACCTGGGAAGACGACTTCTTACAGCAGTTAGAAGATCCTGCCTCCGCACCACAACTTCCGTCATCGACATCTTCACACATTACTTATGCTCTGACATCTATGTCTATCAGCAATCCAGGAGGGCCTGCCACCACCACGCAACTCCAACTCGAAGTTGACATTGGTCAGCTGTCGCTCGATGCCGCTAGAACTGACTTGCCACCATCCGCATCTTCTGGCAAGGGTGGTAGGGTGTCTGCAGCTCAACGTCGAGCTATTGCTCAGGCTGCTCAGACTCCCGTGGACTCAGACGTGGTCCCTGTCATTCCTTTGGCTCCTCCTCCAGTAGTCAAGCGTGTTACACGCAATGGTGGTGCCAAAATGACAGCGAGGAAGGCGTCAGGGAGAAAGTAGTTACTTAAATTTGTTGATCTTGTCACCCTCTGATTTGTTTACCTACACAACGGAGTTTTTGCACCATGCAAGTTGATTTACCTGACTACCATATTGCACGCTGATGCGTCTCACAGCTATTAATTCTCGGATGCCCCGCCCAACAGCACATTGCGCACCTCTTGATTCAGCCGCATTCTAAGTCATCCCAATTAGGGTAGTATAATCACAAGGCCAAACAAGTTGAGCTTTTTTCTTATCAGCGCTTCCATTAAGACTTCTTTCATTTCAACCATTTCCTCCTTTGAACAGACGTCGTCATCAGCTCCGAAAATTCCTTCGTCGACTACTGTAACATGCATCCGCTCGCACTGCATCAATTAATGCCACCCTTCAACATCATGGTAAGTTTTACTACTATTCTTATTATGCTGGATACCAACATAATTCTATCTTCCTTAGGACCGTCTTCCCAATAATACTCCCATTCACCTCACACATCCGCTCACACTCAGCTTCACCACTCTCGCACTGGTCCAGGATACCAACATAATTCTACCTTCCTTAGGACCGTCTTCCTACTCCCATTCACCTCACACATCCGCTCGCACTCAGCTTCACCACTCTGCTGGATACCATTGGCAACATAATTCTATCTTCCTTACCACTCGCACTCAGCTTCACTAATAATCTTGCACTGGATAGTACCAACATCGTTCTATTACCTTCCTTACCGCTGAATACTCTTTCCGCTCGCACTTGTTTTTTTTTTTTGTGATTATTATTACTATTACCATTATTAATATTAATATTAATTGGGAATTCCAGCGAGAGCATCGAAATACAAGCGACGAGTCTTGAAATTGTCTGAATTTGCCTTGCTACCCTTTACAATGCTTACACTATCATTTCATGGCCTTAAAATGTAAGGCTCATCCCGCATTACCCAGGATCATTACAATGCCTTAACATAATTTGGACAGGCATTATAAGTGCCTTGAAATTTTATCGTACACCATTAACATGCATTGTAAGTGTGCCGTGTGAAAAGGTCCCTTAAAATGTCTTAAATTGAATTCGAAGGCACGCGGGAAATTTCCGACATACCACCCATCAAAGGTAACCGAATTTCTACGTATACTTATACGTGACCCACACCACGAAGGGTTCATTAAAATATCAATGCAATAAAACAAAATGATTCTACATACAGTACACTACATGTCATGATCGTGACAATGCCTTCCGTGCCTCCTCACTCGCCTTCCGAGCACCTGCAAGCGACGGCCGAGTGCTATGACCGGTCATTCCTGCAGCGTGAGGTTGCTTCCCCTGCTTGGCATTGTTCGCAGCTGCGACGATGCGCAAGAGGTTGCCGGGGCCTGGACGTTTCGTCGTCCGAAAAGTTCCAGGAGCTATCGCTCGTTCACGTTCAATGCGCTTGAGGAAAGGACTCGGTAAATTTTCTTCATCAGAAAGGTCATATTCTGTCGGCATGGGGGGCGCTGTCTTTGTGGTCGTACAAGCATCTGTAGACTCTGTGCGTGAGGTTGTTGACTTCGAGGGTCGTGATGAGGATGCGAATCCTGTAGGGTCGGAGGCAGATGCCGGTAGAGTCGCAGTTCTCCGGAGAGGCGCACGTCGAACAGATCCTCGCATGGACGGCTTGCGTAGACGTGTGGGGGGGACAACATTCGGGTCTCTTGATGACGAGGCTGAGGCAGTCATCTCGGGACTTCTTCGTTCTCGTTTCGACGGGGAAGGTGGCAAGTCGGCGTCACCTTCCCCTTCTGCATCGGAGCTCTCAGCCCCCTCGTCAAAGTCAAATATCTTGGCGAACTCGATATTCACTTTTGGTGATTTGACGAAAAGCTCGACGAGCTGAGCTGGAGTAGGTGTTGCTAACGGTTCGCCAGTATCTGTCAAGATGACACCTTTCATCGCTGAAAAGGGTACGACAGGTTTGATGGGACGGTTAATCGGGGTTTCGAGCGTCATGGTCGTGTTCATGAAGGAAACGTCCTGCGACCGCCGTTGGGCAGACCGCAGGCGGCAGTCCTGAGTCATCTGCGCGAGAGGTGCAAGGAGGTTTTTCACTTCTTCTAGGGGTGTCTTGTCTTTGTATCCTATAGTTGACGCAATTAGCAACTGGAAAGTGTGAAAAACATCGTCTGAACCTTTAGCTTCGTTTGCAGCCTTCTCTTCTACTGCTTTCATCCTCAGTTCTAAATCTTGCCTTGCTTCGTCCAATTTCCCCTGCTCTGCCTCGAGCTCTTCTTCCCTCCCTCGGACCCAATTCACCTTGTCCTCTAGTTCCTTCATCATCCCTGCTCTTATCTCCTGCTCTCTTGTTGTCCACCACGCAAATAGTTCCTGATCACGCTGGCGCACATGCTGTTCGAGCTCTTCCTCACGCAGCGCCATCACTTCCTCCATACGTTTTCGCACATCACGTAGCCGTTGTTCTGAGAGGGCCTCTGCCTGTCCCAAGAGCTCGCGGAGTCGGACAATTTCGTGATCTTTTTCGGATACAATGGATGCTAGCCGTGCTTCCCGTTCTGCGAGGGCTGCCTCACGGGCAGCGACTTCCCGCTCTTTCGTAACAACAGCTACTTTGTGTGATTTCACTGTAGTGAGCCTGTGAAAGGTATTCAGAGTGATTTGCGAATCCTGCGACAAAAACTGACATCTTTTCAGTCTCTGAGACCTTGAAAACGAGCTCTAAGCGCTCGTGTTGGAGAAGCTGAACTGCCGAAGGCCTCATCGCGGGCTGCAAAGGGTTGTTGAATAAGCAGTACAACAGACGAGGACCGTAGTGTGCACCCCGTATGATACGATACTTACATTAAGGTTCAACATTGCTTTGATGACACTTGACAGCGCCTGGCTGTACCCTTTCGGTAAGGGAGGTATCCGGCCATTCCTGTATAGGTAGGAGTTCAGATTTTTCTGCTGCGCTGAGAGGGAATTCATCTATGCAACTGACCGTATAAATATACTCAATTCTGCATGAGTCTTAGCTTCATGAAATGGCGGCTTCAGGGCGCAAAGCTCGTATATGAGACAGCCCAGAGACCAGATATCAGACTTGGAATCGTAGGCCCGTTCTTGCATTAGCTCAGGAGACATATAATATGGTGTCTGGTTTCCTGAATTAAGTCATGAAAGAGCTCCAGCCAAAAAGCTTACCCCAACATATGTATTCGCAAAGTTTGCCTGGGACAGCGCTTTTGACAAGCCGAAGTCACCAAGTTTCACGGTATTTGATTGGTCCAAAAAGACTGCAGATGAAAGGTTGGTTTGAAGTAAGGCATGATCTTAAAATGACTTACCATTATCTGGCTTGAGGTCTCGATGTAGAATCTGCGGCCTCTTGGCATCACCTTCGAACGTGCCACTACCTGTTCGTCCATTGCTACCAGGGTGATGACAATAATGAAGCGCAAGCAAAATTTGCATGAAGTAGTTCCAAATCGTGTCCTCTGGCACGGGTCGGTTGTACTTTTGCGCCTGCTTTATGACAGTGGATAAATCCCCTCCGCCACAGTATTCCATAAGGATGTACAAGATGCCAGCATCTCGGTCGACGTGACGGTCGTGATATCGTACAATATGTTCGTGGTGCAAATCTTTCAAGATGTTACTGAACAGCGATGAGTTGGAGCAGCGGAAATCAACTTGAACACGAACACTTCAGCAACGATTTGTTTCCTATCACGGTCACTCATTCTCTCGAAGTTGAGCTCCTTTCTTGCAAGGATCTACCACGAAGAACGTCAATTCCATAGCTATGTATGAATATCACTTGCGGGCTTACCTGGCCATCCGACTTCCTTCTGACTTTACGAATGATTCCGAATGAACCATTGCCAATAATATCCAAAGGCTCGTACAGTTCTAGAAAGTTGTTCATGATGTTGCACAACGTGTGCGGTGAGGGTAATGGTATGATGAAACAACAACTTTACAAGATCCAGTCAAAATATAAATTTGCCAAACGGCGCGAGTGGAACTGCCACAACCCTCTAAGTTTGAACATGTCACGCGTATCGATTATATTCGTCATGTGACCGTGATTTCTGTCGTGTTTGGCATGAGTTCAATGGCTTGACTCATTCAAATTGTCTGGTCTATTGACCACATCCACAATTCACATATAATGTGCATTGTACATGCACCAAACATGGAGCTCCGAAGGCTGGCGGTACCACGCGCGCTCACTGGCACTGGCAGGAAAAAGCTCAATAGGCTGAACCACGTTTTTGAACTCGTACGCCGTCACAAGCTTGTTTCACGGTCATTCATCTCTCAACATTTGTTGACATCTCATTCAGCTTCAAGTATAATTCATATCCAAACTGCAGTTCCCTCGTCATGCAATCGGCTACGATATTCTCGTTTTAATGGAATGGGGCGCTTCTGTGTATTTTGCCTTGCGGAAGGCAAGTTATGCATTTGGCAACTGATATTGCTCACCGATTTTTCATCCGTAGTCATTCTCATCTGACGTCTTTACGCACTATGCAACCAATTCAAGCTCCTGCTTTATGTTCTAGTGGGTTTGTTCTTGCTTATCGTCGCCCACTTGATAGGGATATACATTTATTTCTATAGTCGACCTAACGCTTTCTCGGGCAAATTGTCGTGGCTCGGATCAGATCGGCTGCAAGCTGACGCCGTCTCGTTTTACAGTCAAAGAATTGATAACTCCGAACGCCAAGTACTGCACTTTTTCCTTCAACATTCGGTCTATGCCCGCGATCTATACCTCCATCTCCATTGTGTGCTACGATGTCTTACTAGTTGTTCTCGCGGCCGCCACCATCCTCGTAAGACGCTTCAAAGAACGGAGGAAAATGTGCCTAATACCTATATGGTAATGATAGCCCGATATCATGCCATGTACTTCGTTCCGTACGCTCCTCTTCGTCCATTGTGTTTTGAAAGTTATTAATCGACTTCTCACTTAGGAATTTGATTGACCAACCAAATCTCAATGGTGATATCATGGGCTCACATTCCAGTACGATACTCCCAAGATTCTACACGTAAACTTACGTACCCTTTCACAGATGGCAGGAACGAAGCTCTCATTTTGGTACATTGTCATTTATTCTCGCGCCCCGTTTAATTACCAGTATCTGTGACATTCATGTCCAGGACGACTGCGTATATGTCAGTAAAACGTGCGCAGATTGTGTGTGTCGGACTTGCGCCGCCGAGGTTCGAGATGGACTCTGACATCCCATCAACTCGGTATGCTGGGGTCTGTCTTGCGTGAGTGTAGTGATGGAACTAACCTCCGACAAGCACTTGGACGCACATTAGGCAAGCAAAGTTTACTCTATTAGTCCCACTCGATTATTTATTTCGTCCCTTTCATTTCCTGTAAATGAAGGTATATTCCCTTGAGGAATAACCAGATGTGACTAAATAAAAACATGCTGGGCCCTGCTGAGTACCTCATTACACTCATCGTTGCGGTATTTCAGCAATGCGAGCACAGTGACACACTCAAAACTTCTCTTGTTGCATATGCCGAAGATCAGAGGCCAATTTAGTGTAGAAACTGGCGGGTACGTTGATCAGCTATTCTACATAACTGTCGTTCAAGGCATATCATGGCACACATTCATGCCATTCCAGGTTACGCTCCGAAAGTTACGTTTACTTATGAATTATCTAGCCCTCCATTCTTTGGTCCCTTCCTCCTCGTATCATGGCTAATGATGGTCTTTCCGCTATGATGCATACGTCTCCGTAGAGGTTTCCCATCATCACCTCTCGGCCGCCTGCAACATAATGCGAGTGGAAACTCCATGCAGAAGGCCTTGTGCTAACTAACATGATATCTGTTGCGTCTTTGCCTTCCGTCGCATTTTCGTCTAACCTGGCCCTTTTTCTATCCGGCTCACCACGAGCCCCTACGAAACAAACAATTTCAGGACTCCCCAGTGTTTCCATCAAGTAGTGGACCTCGTCGTGGCTGGAAAGATCGACTATATGATCCGCCAAGAAACTGAATTCCGTCCATCCAATATTTCGATACAGGATGCGGATTGACCACGGGATGGAAAGGGAGCTTAAAACGCATGCGATCATTGCATCTCTGCCCTTCAGGTGGTTGCCGACATCGACCACAGACCCAGACGTAGACATGTACTGATCATGAAGGCCAAATGCCAGGTATCCGCCTTCAGGCAAAATATCTGGATCCAAAAGCAATTCGGTGATACCTGTTGTCAGTGAGTTCACGTCGTGAACACCCTTTCTCTCAAGGGTGGCGAGCGGAATGTCATTATCGGTTGGAAAGTGTAGGCGATATGTAATTATCACACAATGCCCTGACGTGATTTTTCTGACCGCAAACTGTACGTCGTCGTAGAACGCAAGAAATGCCACAGATGTCTGCGCCGTCCTTGCGAACAGTTCCGCGAAATCGATGGCCCATTCGTGATGTCCCTGGCGGAGGAGTAATGCTCCGCCTTCAATCTCCGTTGGGAATACAACTAAAACGGTTGCAAATCCTTTAGGGGTTGCCTCGTTTGTGCATAGATTGGTGGACTCCCTCCGACGGACCTCTGCGGATGAAAGGCCTGTAATGGTAAATTATGAAGCATTTCAGTTTTTTCTTTCAAAATTCGTTGTCACGAACCAAAAACATCGCAGAACTCGTCGAGGCTGAGAGAAAACATTCGTGACTCTTCATGAGTCTTGACGGGCCGATACTCGTGGAGACAGACATCCAACAGACTAGGTTGTCCGGCTGAGCCCTCTTTAGTTGCGGGGAGGACCGGCGGAAAGGTTTCATGACACTCTGCGTCTGGTATGCTATTTTCAGTGTTTGTTACAATAAGATATTATAACTAACCATAAATCTTGAGGTGCTGGACAAGAAGTTGTAATGGTCGCTTGCTATTACCACCTTCGAGTAATTCACTTCGAATGGCCTCAATGAGACGGCAATGCTCCGCGTCGAATGTAGTGGCGATCTCGATTGCGTTGAGCTGTGCTGGAGTAAAGCTAGAGTTATTTGCTGTCTGAGACTGAGCACGACAATAGCACGTCAAGTGGTGGAGCTCTTCGGATGTTGCAGATAGTAAGTTCATCTTTCTGTTGGCAAAAAAAATAACTTCAACTTTTCATCTTATGTAGTATGTGGATATGCGAGTCATACCCTGCGTGATCGTCAACACCCGTGCCAGTGTAAAACAAGGTGCATGTATCTGGCGTGACGGGAAGCGTTCCACAGCAATATGGTGGTCTGGGCTTCATGGAAGCTCGAACGTTGTCCAACTTCCCCATGGTGATCCCTTCAAAGACCCCCGAATATTTAACATATTATAATACGAAGAGAAGACACGGTGAGTCAACATCCCAACGTAATTTTCTCGCAATAAGAAGCGCAATACATACTTGACTCATTCCTCGATCAAACCCTCGTCAACGTAAAACTCCAAAGGGGTCTACGCATTTCAAGTTTCAGAATCATCTAGTGAGTCAGTGGTTGGTTGAAAGTACCGCATTCGATGTACAGTGACGAGAAAGCTGCCTCCTGAGCACGCCTTGTCAGATTCAAAGCTCGTACTAATACAGGACCTTCGCAGGGACCTCTGCAACTATGCAAATGTCGCCATACAAGTTTCCCATCTTTACCTCGTTTCCGTATGCAAGGTATTGAGAATGCACGTTTGTGATGGAAGGCATCTCTGTCATTTGGATGATGTCAACAACATCTTCCGAATATTTGGAGTAATCGCCAGCCCGCTTCTCGTCGTCATTCCCGAATTCATCAACAAACCGAACGAATTCAGCCCCTGGTCCCATTTTTTCACTAGCGCCCCAGTGACTCCACACAAGGTCTTGCTGGGATAGATCCGATATGGATTTATGGAGCACGAACGTCTGCTCAGAATGAGATCCTCTGTCTCGATATAGAACGCGAATAGACCATGGCAGAGGAAGCCTATTCAGGACGCGCGTAATGATCGCATCCGAGCCCTTCAAGCATGACCTAAGAGTGTCCACTCTCATCTCTGACGACACCGGATACCGATGGCGAAGCCCGAACCCGAGATAACCACCGTTAGGCAACACCTTGGGATCATTCACGAATTCAGCAAGGGCGGTTTTCAAGGATGGTTCAAAAGGGCCAAGTGCGGAGATCATAGTAGTTGATAGACTGTCCCCGCCGGACGCAAAGTAGAGTTTGTAACTCAACGTCAGGCGGTGACCAGATATGACTGAGCCAATCTCACGTTCGACCTCATTGAAGTACGCTGCATAACCGACAAGAGGGATCTGTGCTTCTGACAGCATCGTTGCAAAGTCGACACGCCACTCTCTTTCATTGTCGCGTAGACTGTATATCCCTCCAGTATGCGGAGTCGGGAATACAATATCAAGGAAACCGAACATCTTGTCGCTGTTCGTGGTGCTCTGATGTGGTCCGACAAAACTACCTGCACCTAAACATAATAAAAATTAGTTTCAATAAGTACGATATGCGAACATCCACTGACCATAGATATTCAATTCATATAATTCGAATCTGATGTCCCGCCTAACAGCCATGCCCTCCAGTAATGACTGGCCTATAGCATCAACCAATCCAGTGTTTCCTAAGCTAAATTGAGTGGCAAACGCAGTGGCGTCTAACCTGCCGGCCCTGAGTTTCTTGGGAACTTCTCCATGATCATGACCGCATGCTGCAAGCTGACAAGCTTCATGCAGAGACTCAAGCTGGTTCTGCATAGGAAACAGCAAATTGATTTTCCTAAGTAGTTTTCAGTTCGTAGCCACAGGCGAACAATGTGTGACATACTGTACACCGCTCGTCGCTGTACTATAAAAGAGCGTAGATTGCTCGACAGCAATTTCGCAAGTTCCACTGCAATATGGAGGACGGACATCTAGCGTTGCGCGGATGCGAGCTAGACCATCAGACATGGTATGAACTGCAACGGATAGATAGCTCTGAATCCCTATTAAATATTTTATCTTACCCTCATCGTATCATAATCGAATTCAGGTCTGTATGGACAAGATATCATTATCAATGTAGGAAGCTGCAGCTGATCGGAGCGCCTGAGGTAAAGTGCAGATTACTAGTACATCACGATCACGTACGTGTATATTCCCTGACTCACACATCTACAGCACTGACACCACATGACTCATGAGTCCCTATCCTCTCAACACGTTTTCTTTAAGTCTACTTTTTTAATATATAATTGTCTTCGCGCAATATCAACATGTGAAGATGCGGACTTTGAGATCGAGATCTAGCAGACGGGTTGCTTTCTGATCGTGATGTTGCAAGAAGTGAGTCAATTCCTGTAATCTAGACAACCGACGAAGCGACCCAGAACGTCCAATAGACGCTTGCGTCGGTCCTTCGTATCGAAGACGGTAGCATGATCCAAGTCAGGATCGAAGAGCACTTCTAGTGTGTCCGTAGCCCAGTATTCCGAGGCGGTTGGTTCCTCTGTCAAATATTTTCTGACTTGCTCCGAGTTCACGATTTGATCTTTTCCGCCCAACCATACAGCGACGGGTCTTCCCACTAGTTCTTCTTTCCACAGTACGTTTTCAGACCAAAAGAAGTGCCGCGACAACGTCCGCGAGATATCTGGGTCCCTGGACGCAAAATACCAAAGCTGTAACTCGTTAGCAGAATGACCTTGTCGGTAGACGAAATTAAAGGCGACGTCGGGAAGATGGAGAAGAAATGGTATCGGGTCAACGAAAAGTATCGCTGAAATGCGAGGAGATAAATGGGAGTGGAGCATCTGCGTAGTTACGACCGTCCCATAAGAGTGGGACAAGACAACAACACGATCGAGTCCGAGATCATCCAGAATCTGGGATATAGCGGTACAGGTGGCTGAGCTTGAGAGTGGAGAGGAGGTGATATGCATGCTGATGGAAAGGAATTCAATTGCCAAAATTCCAATATCCGGATGCAGAGCAATAAGCTCCTCGAAGAAAGCCGTGTATGGGTATAAGCCAATCTGCGGAAGTATTAGATTCATCCACATGAATCGCTCAAGAGCTCACTCCAATGCCGTGCATAAAAAGGACGGGCAATTTCGTACTTGATCGGTGAGGGCGATACCAGAATGGCAACTTGGCTACCGGTGATCTTCGCGAGATGACACAACATGGGCGCATTGGAAATGACGCCATGCAGTCGCCGTCATCATAGTGGTGGAATCCCTGGCGCCAAAGTCTGAACGATGAAGAAAGATCCACCAAACCCACGACCTGAATAATCAGTTGGTCGTTGAGGTTCATCATGTTTTGATGATTACTTACGAAATACCAGATCAATGGCCGGTGCAACATCAACACGCTGTCGATGGTGGGTCGCATGCATCGAGCCCCAGTGTTATATCCAGGGGCCAATTTTCTATCAATGATAACTTCTACCATCGAAAGATATTCCTCTAGTTCTTCCTCCCATTCCACTAGACAGGTGTCTCTTGTTGCAGAGAATAAAGCCCAGAGGAGCCAGTCCACAACGTTATCCCTCTTAAACTCTGCTGAAAAAAACCATCCAGAGAGGTAATCTGAGGCTACCAAATAGCTCGAACATCGTTGAAATAGCATTTTCCGATACTCGCGAGTGTGAATGGTGGGGTGCACTGCAGGCTAGGGGAGGAGCTTAAGACGTCATGCCTGCCAGGAATACAGACAAATACAAGCCTTCTGTAACCACCACCGTCTAGGGAGGTAGACCAATGTATAAAACAATATCTCCAATAAAGCGTACCGTCCCAATGTCGTTTGCCATCCGGTACCTGGTTGAGCAACGATGAGATATGCAACGTACAGAAAGCTGACTGGTGCCACCAGACGAAGGAGCCCTATGCTGATGAGTATAAAGACATATTCAGGCAGACTTCTGCCAATCATTTGCGTTGGCTAACGAAAATGAGGGACAGGCCTTTGAAGTTATCGAGTTAAACTCTAATAGAGTTAGTCTCTCCTTTGGTAACGGTATTAGACAGTCTTTTCGGCGGGTCTAAGTAGAGGGGGGTGCCAAGGTGCCTCATTTAATTAATACCTTGTTGTTTTCTCACGGTTACACTCATCAGCGGGTGTCGCCGAAAAGTTTCCCTTGCTTTCCACCATCATCCAACGGCGACTCATCGACGAAATGGCAAAGAAAAAGAATAAGCAGGTGGGTATGCAACTTCTTTTTATACACGCTGATTAAAGAAGCTTTTAGATCATCCGCCCATGGTGCTGGTACTGTGAAAGGGAGTTTGAAGATGAGAAAGGTAACTTTTTCTAACACGTCTGGAAGATGGGGTCTCATTTACACGGACTTTTAGTCCTCATGCAACACCAAAAGGCCAAACATTTCAAATGCAACATGTGTCCCCGCCGGTTGAACACTGCTGGCGGTCTGGCCGTGCATATCCAACAAGTACATAAACTAGAACCAGAAAAGTGCACCAAAGTTCATCCATATTTGGTTCGTTTTGTTGACTTTGTTTTGTTCAGCCTTCCACGGATCGAGAACGCTATGCCAGGACGTGACGGGTATGAAGTGGAGATTTTCGGGATGGAGGGCATTCCTGCACCTGATGTTGCAGACTATAAGCGCCGCAAGGAAATCGAACTTGGCTTAGCTGCAGGTTCTATATCTCAGCCTCAGCCTAAGAGACCTAAGATTGAAAAGAGGCCTTTATCGGAGGACGAACTCAAGGCTCAGTTAGAAGCCCACAAGGCCTTGATGGGCGGTAGCAGCGATAATCCTCCTACTCTTCCTGCAGCTGACAATAGTGCTGGCGCGGTATACGGTGCTCCTCCACAAGCATATGCCGCCCCTCCTACTCCAGCTCCCGGTATTCCACCGCCAGGGATGCCTCCCTCTGGTATGGTACCAGGTGCGCCTCCATTTTTTCCGGGAGGGCCACCCCCTACCGGCGCTTTACCACCATTTCCGCCATTCCCTGGCATGCCTGGTTTTCTTCCAGGGTAAATCGATTTTTTTCTGCAGTAAATCGTGCGCTGATATGTTATATAGACATCCACCTCCTGGCTTCCCGATGCCTCCTCCTGGTCTCATGCCCCCACCGGGTATGCTTCCCCCAGGTGCGCCACCTTTTCCTCCCGGAAGTATCAGGCCACCATTCCCTCCGCCGCCTTCTTTTGTGCCCGCTGGTTCAGCATCGCCGTTCCCACCTGTTACACCAGGCTTTGGACCTGGTGCTCCTCCGGCGCCACCGGCTGTGGCTATGGGGCTTCCCGCTGCAACTGCAGTGCCACCTTCTTTGACCTTGCCAAATCCGGCCCTTGAACAGAAATATGCGCCTTTCAAGAAACCGACAGAACTCAAATATGCAGACCCGAACTTTTCCCCTGTAAGTTGATGTAACTTTTCCCCACCTCACAACTAATGAGGTGTATTACAGGAAGAGAAACGGGCTTACACTAAAAAATACTATGTTGCTCGAGATTCGACGAATATGCCGGCATCTGGCATCGACTTTTCTGCACTTGCGACTGAAGAGACGAGAGGGAAGAAAAGAGCACGAGCAGAGGACTTCCTCTAGTGGTCAGGATTATACTTTGCGTTATGCTTGATCCAATGACATCGAGGCAGATCGTCTTCTCGACAGAGGGTCGATTACAGCCCAGGCAGCCAAAGGAAGAGGCCTTTTTGATGGAGACTTACCAGTCCGTCCCATCCATCTACTTCTTTCCGCTCATAGATTTTTGGCACTCATGATCTCCTTTATACTCATGTCACACTGCACAGCGCGATGTTTGCTGCGATTTCTTCCATCAAGCCATGCGGTGCGGACTTCTTCTTTGCCTTGAGTTTCTATATCGCCAGAACGTATTTTACTGTGTATTACGGTCGGTCTTTTCTCTTCTGTTATAATATTCTTGTTGCGCAAACGGTATGTCTATCGAAGGTTGGTTTTACAGCGTGAATGGTATTCTGTACAAACATGATCACTTGACCCCACAAGGTGTCGCTGACGCTAGCACGAACCTGTACCCTGAGGCATAAAACGTTGACAGCCGAGACACTGTTCTCGAGTATGCTGTTGGTTACTGCGTTATACACTGCAGCTATGCATCTGCTGATTAGGCGAATCATAGGTTGTGCAAAGACTGGCTTGACGCCTCAAGTTTGTCTGCACGTCTACATAACGTAAGAACCGTACGTCCTCAAATAGTTGGATATTGCTTACCCATCGTGCCTATGTAATTTTCAATGAGCAGGAACAGGCAAGTACCTGGGGATGTAGATAACATACCAAAAGCTACGTTGTAAATTACACATCTACTACAGTAGATCTCCAATACTACTATGCTCTAAAAGATCTAAGACCGACCGTGCCAATTTCACCGCCTCCTTGTCTTCATCCATGTGTATCCGTTGGTGGCGTCCCCCAGGGCTCATGCTTACGCTGACACCCGCAGTCCAGTCACACATGTGCCGCAGCGTCGATGTAATCCCTGCTTCGGTGAGCTCGTGCTTCCGACGAATGTTGGACTGGACGAGGGAGAGGATGCAGGAGATCAGGGGACAGCGTGTGTCGGACTTGGCATCGGTCATGCAGTCGTGCATGGCGTGGATGATGTGTGGGTGCGCGAAGATGAAGTCCTGTTCTTCTCGAGAGCCGTTTGCGATGTTCGCCAAAAAGCATGCTGTCTGTTTACCTGGTGTGTTAGTGAAGATTGCCAAGCGGAATCAGGTTGAGAATTACATGATGGGTCACATCCTCGTTGGAGGATTCTAAGCCAGAAATAATACAATTGGCGAGAGTCTCCGTATCGATAGATTCAAATACGTAGTCCACTCCTTCTTCGTCTTCTGCAAGGTTGCGCAGAATACTCATGGCTTGTTCTTGAATTCCAGGATTGGAATCGTTGCACAGCCTGTGGAACAGACGTTAAGATGGTCTATCAGCAGTACAGAGGTTGAAACGGACATGACCAGCTGGGACCAGCATAGATGTGCCATTACCGTCTGTCTTGTGCTGGGATCGCTTGTCCGGAGGGTATTCCTCATTGCCCATAAGGCACCGACCCTCATATTTATATCATCAGAAGCAAGTAGTTGCATCAATCGCGGAAGCAGCCCTTGGTCCAATAATTTCTGAGGAGTGAATCGCTCGGAAACAGGTCTTCAGAAGAAATGTCGGACGCACCGGCCTTAGCGGTGAGAAATCGTTCACCAAGTTACAAATAGTATTCAAAGCTGCATATGTCACTCTTGGATCCTCGTCCTCCTTCTTAAAGATCGCAAAGAGTTCCATTCCAATTTTGCTGTCCACGATATTTGTACGGATGATAGAAACCGCGCGACTAAGTGCACGTAGGCACGTACATGCTGCGTGGCGGATACCAATGTTCTTGTGTGACAAGGAGACTTGTATCGTGGGGACGAGTTGGAGATCATCTGCAACTTCCCGGCGAATGTTATTGTCAAAGAGCGAGATCGCTGCGATCACGGTCAACGTCGCCTGTAATTAAAAATAGGTGAGCACATCCTGGTGGAAAGATAGCACTTACTTCTCTGAGGGCAAGAGTGCTCTCAGGCTCATCTTCTTCCCATTCTGACGTCCTTTCGAGTGGAGTGATGTGCTTTGCCAATAAAACTACCTTTTCCAATGTTCCGCGTTCATAGACCTCTCGGCACAACTCTTTATCGTCTTTCACCAAATGATCTAATGCGAAATCAGATGACTGCCTAAGACAAGAGTGATGTTCTCCTACAGAGAGTGTAGCATGTTTTAATCTTGTTCTGCGGACTTTCAGACGACGAAGAGAGCACGCGGTTAACCACATGAATGACGTTCAGAGCGGCAGAGTAATCTATCGATCCTGGATGGTGGCTTGCATTGGCTCGAAGAACGTGAGCAGCGCTGAAGGTGGTCAACATTGGATCAAGGGTCTGAGATCAAACTAAGCACATACCACAGAGATGCAGTAAGCTGCACGTCAGTCGATCTACTTTTCGTCAAATTTAATACGATGTTCAAGGGGGTGTCGACTCGTGCCGGAATGTCAAATTTGGTCCTAATCAAAGACTGACAATCGCGCTTACCTGCGTCAGGCCAGGCCCTTGTGAGCGTGGTTGCAACTACAGTATTTTCCATTGCCAGGGACGATAATGCGCTAAGCGCGGCTTCTTGTAGCTGTGAGGCATCAGATCCACTTGCTTCGGATAAATGATGGAATGACCTTTATGTCCTTCTTTTGAAGGAAATTGACTAGAAGCCGGACCACCCATCCACCTTGTCTAGCAGGTGAGCTAGAGTTTACCATTTCCTTTTTTTCCCAACCGCGTCTGCCCTTGATCTCTTTGGAGCGTTCAGTAGGAGGTAGCCATTCTGTGACAGCGTTTCGATGAGCTTCTGAACGGACAGTTGTACTGATGAGCTGTGCAATAGCGATATTTGTTTGTGATGAAGGATCGGCCAGGAGCGGAAGAAATATATTGAGGCAATCAAACTCGAGTCCTGTTAGCAAGACCACACCTTGATTGAAGGAAATCGAGTCACCTCAAAAAGATAACTCAGTGCGACCTTGGCTTCACTCCGCAAATCGGGGTTCCATGTTCGAAGACCGAGTTGGGATGGACCAACGACTTCAGCAACAGCCGTGGACAACACTCGTAAACCCCGCGCTAATGCAGATTTTAGTTGCACAGGATCGTGGGGTTTCATATTTGACAGCGCAAAGAGGAATGCATGAAGAGCATTCGCGCGGATCAAACTAACTAAAGCGACCTCTGAACCTGGAATGAACCGTTGGTCCTTGAACAAGAGACCATCATATGAGCACATACCATAGGAAATAGACGCGATTACATGGGCGGTTTCGATACGAATATCGTCATGAGACCCTTGGGTATCAGCATAGGAAGTGAGGCAGTTGACAAGCCTAACCAAAGGAACATGAGCTCTGCATTGTGCATAAGGTAATGTCACGTACAAATGAATGAGCGCTGTATCCTGAGCAAGGGCTAGTTTGGCGGCGGGATTGCCAATGACAGAATTTTTCAATGTCTTAAGGGTGCTGGTGGTGATGGTTCGCACTGTCATCCGTTTAAACTTCGTCGATGCAGTATGAGCGAGTGATGGTGATATTGAATCAAAACCTACTGAAAGCTTAACCCAGGTTGACTTGGAGTACTGAGTAGTCTTCACTTCGTGTGAAACGGTCCTTTAGGCGAGGTTAACGTTTGCAGTCCTGAGAGATGGTGAGAAAATGTATTCGTTGAGTATCTGCTAGCTACAGGAAGAAGTGCGTATAATAGTCGTAATGAGCAGTAGTAGTACTGCCCAGTGCCTGTGCTCTATTTCCCCACACGAGCCCGGCTTCCGACTGTTCTGGCCTCCGACGGACCTGCCGATCAGCGGCACCGCACTTCATTGACCTGTCACCTCGCTCGTTGTGTTTGGATTCAAACCACACCATTCACTTTCCATGGCGTCTACCCCCTCAGCTGAGGATTTATTACGCTCAGCGACACAAGGATTTGATCACCTCTTTGCAAATGATATCGATGCAGCGAAGAAGGCGTTTGAATCCGAGGGCGCTCCTTTTCACTTATTAGGACTTGGCGTCGTCGCGTTTTTGCAGGCAGCCCTCGGTATGGAGGTTGGTTGATCACTCAGTATATCATCTCTAGACAAAACTGATTTTTGCAGACGGGTCTAATGGAGGAAGCTACTCGCTGCCTTACAGCTTCGGAAGTAGGCGCCAAGAAACAAGCACGGGCAGCAAAATCGTTGCCCTCAATCCATCGATTCGACGCTGGAATAGAGTGGGAAGTCATGCATGCCGATGCCGTCGTTCTGCTTGGCTTGACCCATGCACTGAGGTGTGTTTGAACCTATTAACACATGCTCACCTCTTATATTCGGTTACAGCGAGTCGTACCGGGGCTACTTGCAGTGCTTGTGAGTCATATTTCATATCTGTATTCTGCTTGCAGCCAACACTTTCACAGGTATGAACTTAACAGGCGAGTTTTGAAATTGAGCTGTGCTCATAGATGTATGACTAATGTCGGAATAGTGCCCATTCCAAATTTAATAAGTGCGTTGTCATAAGTCATTCATGCACCGTACATATCCATCGACTATCACCAGACTCTTCAAGACTGTTTACCCCAATGGTCTTCAGTCCTACGCAACTCCAGCGACAACCCCTCTACCATCGCGTAAAGGCTCTGATGGAAGCCTGCATTCTTCAGTAATACAATCTAAGCCAGCTACTACGCTTAAGTCAGGCTTCTTCAGCAGGTGGTTCGCTCCATCGACTTCAGTCGCCGCCCCAGGGACAATTACAAATCCGCCAAGCGGGCCTGTCGAGGAACTCGTATTGTCCGGAACTGCGTTTGGTACATTTTTTCATGCCTCTCTATGTTATCACATTGAATCCAAGGTTGTCAGGATATGGGTTGTTTAACCTGGTGCTTTCTCTCCTACCTGCAAAGATTAGGTGTGTTGCTAACTGTGCGAGCAACATCCCTTTGACGCCGCTTCAGAAATGTGGTCGGCTTTTTTGGCTTCAATTACGATCGCATGCTAGCTCTACAGGCTCTTGCCGTTGCTGCCGCAAGGAATGATATTCATTCCGTGTTTGCTGGGTACGCCCCCTCGGTAGTCATTGATGACCATTGTATTGATCAAATCAAAGGTTGGTTCTGATGACCTACCACGGAGTCGTTCTTCTTCTTTCTGGGTACCAAGCCGACGAGGCGCACATTATCAAGCAGTACAAGGCGATAGTTTCAAGGTCAGTAGTTTTCTCCTTCAGTTCATTCAATTTAGGCGTCGCAAAATCAGAGTAGATGGCCGATACCCTGATGGTTCCCTGTGGATCCTGAATAAGGTTTGTTTTACTCAACGTAAATCTACTCATTCTCATCCTCTGTCAGGCAAAGATACAGCGCATGACATATGATACCGAAGGCGCGATCGCGACCTTGAGAGATGGCTTGAAGCCTGAGAGGAAAAAATCTTTCCCTCAGGCTGACACATTGGTATGCATCAGATTGTGGCGGTAATTTTCTAGTTTCTGATCCACATTTCTGCCTCCAGCTCACATTTGAGTTGGCCTGGACCCTCCTTTCGCATCGTCGTTACGAAGAAACGGCAGAGCAGTTCCTGGATATCACTCGACTGAATAGCTGGTTCCCTATCTCTTTCTTGTTCACGTACCTTCGAACTAACCTATCGATGACGCAGGAGTCACGCGACATACTACTTCATTGCAGCTGGTGCGCCGATTCTTACATCAATCAAAGCATACTCTTTACCACTGCCTTACTAGGCTGCTACTTCTCGTTGAAAGATCATGATAGAGCTCAGAACCTTTTGGACAAAATTCCTGATCAGCTTGATAAACGGAAGCTCTCAGGTAGAGATATGCCCACAGAAACCTTCATTAAGAAAAAGTGTTCGTCGTTCTCTGAACTAATTCTTTGACATTCAATGAACCTCACGTTGGAATAGTGGCTTTCTACAAGAGGAAACAGGCTCGCCTTAGAGGAGATGAGAATCGATTTGTAGAGGCTATCAAGATCAGTCCCGCAGAAGGTTCGTTTCACGGCGTGTTTCTTGTACGTTTTCTTACTATTTTATTTACAACAGAGATTGCTATTTGTGCGTATTTAAACCAATAACTTCAGCAACAAATATTGACTTGATCTTACATAGTCTGGAATACCCACGCACGTATCGAGAGCTCCGTCGCCATAGCGCATATCCAAGAGTGGTCCTCGCTGACCCCAGTTATCACTGATATCGAGAGCAAGTATCTGGTGAAACAAGTTCCAAAAACCGAAACCGACGACCTTGATACTGTTGACGAACTTGCAATACGCTCGCTCCTCCTCGGCATCGTCCACCGTACTCTCGCCGAGTATGCGGCTGCACGCGCATTCCTTCTCGATGCGCTGAAGAGAGCCCCTAATGTCGAGATCAGCACGTGGGTTGGGGGTGTCTCCGCCTTCGAGCTCGCCGTGCTCGATTTGAAGGAGGCAGACGTGAAGGCTGCAGACATGAAACCGGAGGAAGCCATGACGATGTGGGAAGGCGTGCTCGCCGGTGCCAGCGAGAAACTAGACCAAGCATACACAATGTCCACAAAGCAAACAGACCTGTCGTCGAGGCTTGATAGCCGAATTGTCATGCTCAGGGATGAGATTTCCGACAAGCGGGGATTACTTGGGCTTCCTGCATGAGATAGGACAGCGTTGACAACACACATACCCTATCAATGTTTTATGATACACATTTCGTACTCTGCATTTAGTGTCTATGCATCGTGATATCTAAATTCCCTCGAATGGCCTCCGACTTCGTTGTCGCGATCGTTTTGCGAACCTCCATCCCAACGTCCATAGCATAGAAACTAAAGCAAATGGAGGGAAAAGCCAACTAAGCTTCCACGACCACCCAGCTGTCGGTTCTAGCTTCACAAGACACAAATGAACTTGCTGTTCCAGATCCTGCAAGGTGCCAGAATTATCAAGGACGATATCGGCATACTCTACTTTCTGCGTTATAGGAAGCTGCGAATTAAGGCGTGCTGAAGCATCTTCGCGAGACGAATTGTCGCGCGTCATAAGCCTCTGCAGTTGAATGTCTGCTGAACTACGATGGGTCGTAGCTGTGGATGAGAACCAAAGGTATCAGAGAGAAACGTACCAATACACCACGATAACTTTCCCCATCCATTTCCACAGGCCTCCTTCTATCAGAAGAGGGACGTCCACGACACATAATTTCTCTCCTCTCAACCAACACCAAAACACATTCCAAAGAATGCCACGCCGAACAGCAGGATGGACGATAGAATTCAATTTCTTCCGCTTCACCTCGTTATTGAAGATAATAGTACCAAGTTTCTTTCTGTCGAGGGTGCCATCTGGGAACAGCACTTCAGAGCCAAAGTGTGCGATGATTTGAGTAAGCCCTTTTGTTCCGGGTTGTACTACCTCTCGTGCGAGGACGTCTGCGTCGATGACGGGTATCTGTTGGGACTTGAGGAGGTTGGACACGGTTGATTTGCCCGTTGCGATACCCCCGGTGAGACCGACGACTGGGATTCGTTCAGAAATCGGCGGAGACATTCGTATGGAGACCAAATACCCAACATTGTGGACTCTCGCTAGCAAGGTGTTTGGGTGACCGCTCTTGAAGCTGGAACTTGAATATTTAAATGACAATAATGAACGTCAACAGCGACGAAGTCTGTCGTGCTTCGCCACGTGATGTCCGCTCCTCGACACCCTAAGGCAAAGTGCCCCTGCTACAAACTTCCCATCTTATTACTCGAGTTCTCACTTAGCACCGAATGGATCGCACAACAAGCAGTACACTAATTCTTTTGGCATTAAGACAATTGACCGAATCACCGCTTCCACATCACGATCTCAATGCAACTGTCACTAGATCTTGAAGACATCAGCGGCTGATTTATATCCTGGGTACTACATACTGATTCCCGAAATGTTCTTGAGAATCTATCGCACGATTCCAAATGACAGATTATGATATCATCACAGCCAGCAAGCAGAGCTTTGCGCCGAACAATCGGCGCCTCCAGCCGTAGTCACAGCTCCAAACTTTGAAATTTCACGACATCGTGAATCGTGGCACGCAGCAGCTCCGTCTGACCGGCCATCACCACAGTTCAGTGGTTCTGCTTGGCAATTCGAAGTGACAGCTGCGCACTCCAAGGCTCCAACAGAATTCTAGAAGACCACGAGTAAAGCCCGAACCTGGTCGTTGTTAAAAGCCATTGACAAATATGAATTCACGGCCGAGTCCGCCATGGTACGACTCAACTAAAATATATCGGAAGGACGGGTAGTAGGCCACACCTTCCTGAACAACTCAAGCTTCCATTAAATGTAATCAAACGGCGATCAACGAGCGAACCCGAAATTGTTTGTCTAAGACCTGATTTGGCGCCCGGAGTTCGAGATATCATTGGTCTCTAAGACGTACGGATGAGCCATGAGCATGCGAAACATGACACCTACGATAGTTATCGATCAAAGCGAAGTTCCACACGTGTCTCGACTCCACAGATTGCATCACATTTCGAGCATGAAGCCACACAAAATGTCCATAAGCTGGGGAATGAGAATCAAGTTGAGCATGTCCGTTTACGCGATGACAATAGGGTGTAGCGCGGGCTGCTTTGTACACTAGACACGGTCAATCAAATAGTTAGCTTCGGCCCTCACTGGGCATCAGAATAAAACAATGAGCCTATACCATGGAAAATCGGCAGACTCGAAGATCTCCTCGGATTCCGTTGAGATGCATCGCTTGCCCACAGCCGATTTGGTAGCTCTCGAAGGTACCTGAGATTCGGGGCACGACCTCACAATGGGGGCTCCAATTCCGCTACCAGTGAGCCAGACGTGTCTCTACGGGTGACCCACTCCTAGTGTCGAATGTGATCACCCCATTTCTTGGTGTCCCAAAGGGCGATGTGAATAAAATCCTAAAAAGTGACTCCATGATGAGGATGAAACAAATGTATTTGGAGTTGTGATAGTGGTCCAAGGCCTGTGAGAGCCTACAGCTTAGCAATATTCGATATGCCGGTGAGAACTCTGAACCATACTAAGCGAGGTATGGACGTGCGTGGGCAATTTGTTCCCTGTAAGAGCGAGACATTATTCAGCACCTCGACGTGGGTGAGGACATTCTCCCCGCAATGGTGAAGACCACTAACAAAATGAATTTGTTTCTAAGCTGAGTGTTGTGGGCTGATCGAGCCCCTTTACCAAGCAAGTGAACGAAGGGTGTATAAATTCGTCATCTTTTCTATCCGAGATTTAGAATCCACTGTCACAGTTGCCCACCATAGTCAACCTCACCATCAACTTATTATTTCTGTCTCTTATCCCAGTTCTCAAGCTCTCACCTAAGATGGCTTTGAACATGACATCTCGGAATGTCGTGAAGAAGGTGCTGTCCATGGACACACCTGAGGTGTGTCCATTTCATCGACTGTTAATCTCCCATGCTTCATATCCCATCGGTAGGGTGCTGGAGCACGCGTGCGACGGTCCATTGGAAGCGCGAGCTTGCGCAATTTGACGCCTTTCTTGTTGCTGGATCACTTCCATATCACCGAGGGTGCCGTAAGTTGATATGCTGTGTGAGCGCAATACAGATCATACAATTATTTATATAGGGGTTCCCCGACCATCCGCATCGTGGCCAGGCAACCGTAACGTATATGCTGGAAGGGTGAGTAATTTCTGCTTCTACCATGTGCTGTGGGCGTAATGTGATGATTTGTAAAGATCAAGTCGCCATGAGGATTCCGCAGGACATTCTGGTATGCCCATTTCTATCGATTTATCTGATACGCGTTGTGACATACAACTTCACAGGGACCATCGAGGCCGGCGGTGTACAATGGATGTGTGCCGTTAGTGAACAGCATTTTTTTATCCGCCGTCAATCTCAACTGCCCCGTCATGTAGGGAAAGGGGATCATTCACGCGGAAATGCCCGTGCATGGAAAGAACGTTCCAGAGCCTCGAGGATTACAGCTTTGGGTGGACCTACCAAAGAACGTTAGTCCAATACGTATGCTGCTGCGTGACCAATAAATTTACGAACGTGCTACAGGTCAAGATGACGGTAAGTCTGGCAGGGCGTAGAGGATCTAGTCTTGATCATCACGTTTGAAATAGGAACCGAGCTATCAAGAACTCGACCCTGAGGCGTACGCCGATCGCATATGCACTTTGAGAGCCTTTCTTCTCTGACGCTGGACTTTACAGAATTCCAGTTGCGTATCCCGAAGGCAAAGATGGAAATATTAGCATCAAAGTCATTAGTGGAAAGAGTCACGGCGTTGAGTCGCCTGTGCGGCCACTTGGTGGGTGCTGGTACTTCCACATGATGATGAAGAACGGCGCAACCATGTTCCAGGACATTCGTATGTATTCTTTGATACTACACTTGAAGTTCATTAACACTGTCGACAGCTGCTGGTTGGACAGCATTCCTCTATAGTATGTTGGCCGAATATGTTGGCTCTATCAAGGGCTGACCCGTCTCCTTAGTTTTGAAGGGTGCAGTGAGCGTCGGTGAAAGCGGTCCTGTCCATGATGCTTTCCACACTCTCGTTCTTTCCAACGAGAACGGTGAGACTGGCGTGCAACTAACATCTGCAACCGACGACACTTCGTTTGTCTTGGTATGTACCCTGTCTTCACAGAGGACCATTCCTGATTTTTTTTCCGGGAAAGATTGCTGGGGAGCCTCTCGATCAGACTGTTTTCCAGTACGGTCCTTTCGTCATGACGAACCAGGAGGAAATACAGAAGACACTGATGGACTGTGAGTGGTTCGCTGGAATGTTTGATAAGATGCTCAAAGAATGTCCATACTGATATCCAGACCGAACGGGTCGTAACGGATTTGAGAAAGCGCACACGTGGAAGAGTAAGATTGGAAATATGTGAGAACCCCTGTACGCATGATTGTGTTCTTGTTCTACGAAGAGTAAGCTCCTTTACCATAATGTTTCATGATTTAATGTTGACGCACGTTCGCAGTTCTTTCTAAAGGTTTCTTGCGAATGAATAATACTTGATCCCATTGCAATAGTACTGTAGAGATACTTATTTACATATTGAGAGGGCGTAAACCTCTTTCGAAAAACAATATTAATCGATTCGATGTCATGTCATACCATTAATAACGAAAGTTCGTATTGGCTCGATAGCTGTAAATTTTCGCCAGAAAGTTTTGGTTCTATCATAACAGTAGTGGACGCAATCGATGAAAGGTACATCAAGCCCTGACACACGTGTCTTTTGTTGAATGAAACCGGGAGGGTCAGTGCAAGTGGGGAGAGGGCCCCCAAAGAAAACATGACATCTTGCTCCGAGTCTATTATTGTAGGTCATTATTTCATACGTGCTCCAATGGTTTCCTTGTTTGAGACCCCTGGTCAGATGTACCATAGAACCACCAGTATGTCAGATTGCACAACAGGCGAACTGGTTTTAGTGACCCAAGTTGGCAACAGGTGATTCAGTGCGCATTTGCGCATTTCATACAAATTCAGGGGCAACTCTGAATCGGTTACCTGTGGGAAATTAGTCCTGTCTATGTCCTACGGCTGCCTTCAACCAACGATCGGAGCTCCGAGTGTCCCAATGAACGGTAGTCCCTCTGGAGATCTGATTTCGAGGATTCCATTTCCGCGTACTCCCTCCGACGCTAACGGCGCGGGATCTGCATGTTCTGATCCCTCGAACGAGCAAGTCGCTCTTCCGATAATCAACACAGTTCTTCGAAACGTGTCTGTACTGATCAAGGACCAGGAGAACAGCAAGTCCAATGCGCTCCCCACACCCTAGATGAGCCACAAGCGCACAAATACTGGGGCTGCCAGTGACCTAGAAGTTCAAGCACGGCGCACGTATTGGTTCTACGTAGGCACTCATCGTTCAAAGGGGACTCTTGGCAGTTATTTTGATTCTCGGCGCGCGTTGATCCACACTGAGGTAAACGCGCGTTAACCCCGATATATAGAGTTCATCGAATAAACTTGCAAGAAGGTAGTCGAGTGCACTATTACAATTTCCATTCAAGATCTTCAATAATCCGGATAAATGACTGGCCGCTGTCGCTTCTGGTCCCGAGTTCTCGAAGAGATCTTCCATGTTTCCCACCGGGGTCGTATATCAGACCTGAAAAATTCCAGAGCACAACCCGTCCACCCTTCCTATTATTTTCTGACCCAGACTCATCTATCCATTTAACCTGGAATGAGTTTTAGTTTAACATCCCCTTCAATATTAACTATCGTGTAGCACAGAGTTCCAATTATTAGCGGATTTAGATCTGGGAATAATTGAAACTCTGATGGACTCGCGGCCTATTGCAAAGGTGGTTGAACAAAGCCGCAGCGCCTTTCTTCGGAAGCAAGCTCCCTGCACCGGCCACACGAGCCTCCTTGTTGTATGATGTACGGTGATTTCATATATAAGGAGGCGCGTGTGCATGTCCTCGATGCACCATCACTGGTGCTGATTAACGCCCTTAAAATCTGTGCCAGATTTTACGGGCGTTTTTCAGACGAAAGAAACAATACTGATAACGAACCGCAGGATCTCAACACCAGGGAGTCAGGTTCCTTAGAGTCGATGACAACTCGTTCATTGACTAGTACTTTCTTTTTCTTCTAGCCGAGAGCCTTTGGATTTGGAATGTAATCTTTGCAATTGGCCAGTCTCGCTTGTTCAACATTTCCAACTAGGTAGGGAACATGTGATTGCTGTACGTATTCCTGTGGTCATGAACAAACATATACAAACACACGTTGAAATTTGATATGCAAACGATGGTAAGTATAAGGTTGGCAAGGCGAGATTCCTGCTGAAAGGCCCGGTGATAATCATAGGCCGGTTCAATCCCATTGTGGATTGCGCGCTTGTTCCTGATGTGACAAAATTGTACAAAAGCAGCCCATAAATAACACGCACCCTAGTTGTCGAGAAGTATTTGTTAGGCGATGATGAGTGTGGCTTGGCAGTGACACGATTCACAGAAGCCTTGAACAAATCATAATCATCTCCCACATGCCGTCATCCTCAGCGCCTAGCACGCGCCAGCACTTGTCGACTATACGTTCCATGCTATTCGGTGACGCACGTTTGACCTTAATGGCGCCCATGGTTGCCAGTTGATGCTGATAGTATCAACATGTCATCTCCGATGTCTTCGCTCAGTGAAGGAAGAGTGACTGCGTGCGCAGTGATACAATTACAGCCTAGTGCGAGCTATTCAAGATGCTGCGAGGAACGCAAATTGATCGAGTTCTGTTAATTTCACCTTTTCGTAAGTAACAGCCTCGAAGCGGAGTATTGGCAGTTGCGGAAGGCGCTAAGGCTATGCTGCGAACCTCGGTAAGATCTGGCATGAGTATGTACGTGTGTAGGTTACGATACAGCCAAGCCACAAGTACCCGAAACATTGCTATTTGTGAAAAATCGAATAGTACTTAACAAATGATAGGCCATCGATATTTGATTCGGGCGCCGCGAGGTTCGGTTCCTTCGTGAGCAGTTGCGGCGGCCCGCACAATTTGGAACTTCTGTGAGACCAAGCCTACGGAGAAACGTCAAGTAACAGCTGGCTATCAAGCCAAGGCTTCTGATATGCATGCGATACAGGATTTCGAAGTTCATACAGGGAACCTCGAAGACTAGCCAAGTCAAACATCTTAGAACCGCCAAGGGCGGGCCAGTGATGTGGCACGATAGCTGGCCAATAATCGGCTTTGTGATGACGATGATGAATCGATGATCCTTGGCCTGGCCAGACAAGGCCACGGGTGCATCGGAGACCTTTCAAACAACATTTTTAAAATAACCTGTATGTGACACATCGAAGGGTGGAGATGGTTTGAGTCATTTTCAAACGTGCGAAGTGAGGCCAAGCGCTGACTCCATCATCTAAAAAAGGAAGTCAATGATCTTTCATAAAAGCTCTCACTTTGTTTCCCGGAAAACGCCAGCACTAGTTGCACTGACAATACCGCTTTAAATCGCCCAGCCACATCCGCAACCGCTTACTAGAGATATTAGTAACCACCAAGGACCAGCTATTATATAAACCACAGGGCCTTTGTACCTTTCCCCGAAGTGACTTATCTGTGCCACCCCACTTCTTCATAACTCACCTTTCATGGATCGCTTCTTCGCTCCAAACACTTCAGAGGCGTTGGCCCACACCCAGTTAACGTATGTTCAATTCCTTTTACGGTTCTAACATGACCTGATCTCTGTGTGACATTCCAGTGAAAATTGGTTCACCTGGGACCAAGATCATCCTTCGTTCAACGAAACCCTCGTTGCAGGATGTGCATCCTACCAAGCATTCACGCGCTACCTCTCAGGTTCTGACCTATTCATCGTACCTCGCTCCCGTCGCGAACTCGAAGGTGTTTTGTAAGCATCCTTTTTTTCGAACTTTACCCTCTCTTATTCGCTTGCTTGTCAGGCGACGTTACGCATATGATAGCATACATAATGCCATAGCGGTGTCACGCCAAACCCTTCAAAGAGGTGGATACAGCCGAGTTAGTGGAGCGCTATTTGTCATTGGTCTCTAAGCTGACCCATTTTGCCTAGACTTGTTCCCTCGCAGAAAAGTCAATTCGCGACGTTCTGAATGCGAATGACAATGCAACCGTCCTACTCAATTTGCATGTGCCGCAGCCCGAAACGTTCACAGGAACGGACGTTTCCCTACCTAATTCAAATACCCGCATCAGGACTTGATGCCATTTTGCTCGCATCGGCTCATTTCGTTCGACCGTTTATCCTCGGCTCCCCACTGATATTTTTTCCACCGTGGCTTGTTGGGATCTTTGTTTTCGTTATCCTCTGGGTCTCGTTATCTATAATCGCATCTGTAATACTCCCCACAACCAATCGCCTTTACGCACTCTGTATGTACCACTGCAATTCAATCATTCATTGATTCGATTCATTATCTTGAATTTCGATGGGTTTGTCATTCAGGGGATCCCGACCAATGCGTTTGTGCGGTATTATATAATACCATCTCGTTTGGTATATCAGGCACAATAAGTGCGCAGCGTGTCACTTATTCTCACATTCCCCGCACGCACTGACTGATGGATCGACTGCACTCCGCACTCCGTAGTTACTCACGCAACCAACTATTTTTTGGCCGCCGATCAACAATGTAACCGCTTGCTGACGCTTGTGCGAAAGCAGCAGTCAAATCAATACATCGGAGCGGCGGGCGGAGAAGAAAGGAAACAGAAATTTATAGACTGCGCGGCGTAGGGCTAGCCCGCACTGCTAAATGGATCTTTTCGAGACTGGCAGTCCCTGTGAGCTTGCCATTACGCATCGGCAGAATGTGCGAGGGGCCACGGTTCTAGGGATATAATTTCTAATCTCTAAGCTGTACGGCACACCGCACGTATTGGAAGCTGAATAATGTCCAAGTCTGCCACTAATCAACCCACGGCCGTGCAACGTTTGAACGGGAATTAATATTAGGTAGCACTTCTTCTACAAACTAGAGCACACATCCCGCAGATACTGCGGGGCGGCACATAGATACTCAAACTAGACGCACACGTTTATTAACTGTTATCCGCCCAACAGCCTAGACCTAGACGTATGCGAATTCGAATATGGTTATCTCCCCATCGGCTGCACGCGTAACACCTACTAGTTCCTGCTCGAACAGGCACGTGAGATGACAGCGGACATGACATCTGAATATTCAATGAGAACAAGCGCCGTGACGCTATCAACGTTGCGAGATAACGTTGGTGACAGACTTCCCCATGCTGAATCTTTCATCAGGCCTTACCACTATGGGCAAGCTGAACCAACACACCTGTGACATATGACACGTTCAGGGAATTATCCAGTTCGCGCAGTACTGAATAGGTTGTTATCTGTCGTCATGCAAGGGTCACCCTAGATTGCATCGCCCCTGGCAGGTTCACACAAATGTAGATGAAATACTGCGTAAACACAGTAAGATGAGTTTGGTTGTTACGAACACCGATCACCAAACACAAACGTATCAGTGCTGTGCTCATAACACATCCACAAGTCTCTGCCATCTCGACATCTTACCCTCGCGCGCCTTTTCCCTCAGTGTGAATAGTTCCTCTTCCTCATCGATCTCCCGTTTGCCTGTGATGAGATCGACCTTGGATGATGGTATAACTCGGGTCCGGTGACGAATTTTATATCCAAGCCAGAATATAAAAAACAATGGGACTGGGAGGTACTGACCTATATTAAAGACTGTGAAGAACCCTGAAAACGTGGATGTGAATACCCTCACGTGATGAACAGTCCAGGCGTAAAGGGTAGGAAAGTATTGAACCCTGTAAAACACGTTATCACGTTGGCTTCATTTCATATAACCGAATACGCCAGGCTACCTTTGAAGAGAAGAATTATTCCAGTTGAAACGAGAACGAACCAAGAGCCAAGCGGTTGACACGGCCCCTTATACGGCAGACTATCGCGCGAGATGCCTTGAGCCTTGAGCGCCTGCATAAAGCGTCTACACCTGTTCATGCGATAGTTACCAAAGAGGAACGACTACTCACATGTGACTATAAGCGATGGTCATCCAGGTGATGGCCCCAAACGCAGAAAGAAGGTTGACCCCATATGCGAACACTGGTCCCAGTATGAATCGATGTGAGGTCACTGGCTAGATAGAGCTCACCCGTAGAGCTTGAAGTGCTTGCGTTCAGGAACGTTAAGCTGATGAATAACGATACAAAGAGCAAAGACACCCAAGGAACACCTCTTTTATTTACTTTCGCGAATATCTGGGGTGCCTTTCGTTCTATCGCGAGACCGTAGAGTGTCCGGGATGCGATGTATAGATCACTATTGGCAGCACTGATGGTAAAGAGGAGAATCATTGCATTGATGACATGGTTGAGCCCTTTGATTCCGACCAGAGTGACGCCTGAACGGAATGATAAGGTTAACTCTATGGATCAGGAGATCCGTAATTGATGACTCACCAACAACGAAGGGTGATGCTGCTGCCCCTGCACGCGAGCTATTGGCAACCAATAGTTGCTAGAAGTGGAAAGAGTGAAAGTAGTCAGTTGTTTCCTAATAGGCTTACGTACAGTGCTGGTGCTCGGCACGATAAGACTAATCACAAATACGCATCCGATATAGAACACGAAGATACGAAAAAAAGTCGACTTGATAGCTCTGGGAATCGATTTCCTCGGGTTCTGTGCTTCTCCAGCCGTTACCGCAACCAATTCGCTGCCAATGTATGCAAACAACGCAGTGGTCAACGTGCTCCAGAATCCAAGGAAGACCGCGAGTTGCTCATTGTGCACCTGGTCGACAAGGTAGCTGCCCATGGGTCCATTTGGTTGCCGCCAGTATCGGAATCCAATGCGATCATGTTTGGGGTTTCCTCCGAGATCGATGATAATCCCAAGAAGAATCAGGCCCATCAGGGATACGATCTTCAGGCCGCTCATCCAAAACTCCAATTCTCCAAAAAATCGTATACCAAGCAAGTTCATGATAACAACTGGAGATATCAATAGACGGTTCAAGGAGATGTTGGCTCAACTCACCGAGGACCATGTACAATGCTACAAGTCCACTACAATGAGAATCAGGTCAACATGTTGGATAGCGTTCGTACCTGCCCAGACCTCGATGGGCACCGAGAGCGTCCAATATTGCATCACAATGCCAGCTGCATTGATATTACTCGCAGGAGCAATGAGGTACTTGATAAGGTATACCCAGCCTAGTGCGAAACCAAGGGCCGGGTCCACAAAACGCGTTGCATACCCAGCAAAACCCTTCTTATGTGGGAGATACGCAGTCATCTCCCCCAGGGCCGCAAGAGTCAGAAAACAAATGAGACCGACGAACAGGAAGCCGAGACAAAGACCAAGGGGACCACCCTGAACCAACGCAGTTCCGGAGCTCATGATTAAACCTGTGCCGATAGTCCCGCCTAGCTGTGTCTCGGTTAGCTTGGTAAGTAACTGAAAAGCGGGCAACCGACTGCTATCATGGACATTTGGCGGGCCTTGAGTCCACGGTGCAGTGTGCTCTCATGTGGGTCTTGTAGATCATCCGCACGATAAAATTTCTCGTCTACGTCCTCAGTAGCAGACCCACTCAGGCGGCTGTTGGTCATGATAGTCTCGAGAGCAGGAATAACTGCAAAAGATGAGAAAAAGTCATGCTAATATATTACATCTCGTAATTTCCTTGCGTACAAATTCTGGAGGGGTATACGACTAAAATAGCCAGGTATACACGTGGTCACTGGTCACTGGTCAGTCAGGTGCGTCGGTCGGCAACAAGTCTCGCAAGATAAGGGCAGATATACATACATAGATCACAATTTATGCCTGATTTCTTTCTTGGCAATTTTGCTGAAGCGTTCAGCAGGTATTCCACTACTAAATCTGTCTGCTTGAGCATAACTCTCTCGTAGATTTACGGCGTGGAAGTCATTCTTATCGTTCAGACCGGCTTTGATGAGGGTTTTGATGGCGGAGATAGAGGCAGGAACTAGACCATCAAGTTCCTTCTCCAGATGTTGGTGAACTGCAGAGTGGAATTCTTCTGTTGATTTCGATGGAAAAATCTTGCTGAATCATTATCAGCATGGGGTAGGAAAAGTCGGATGCGGGAACACACACTTAACGAATCCACATTCAAGCATCTCTGACGCGCTAATCTTCTTGTTAAGAATGAGGACCTCGTTTGCTTTGGCGATTCCCACTTGACGATAACATGAGGAAAGGTCATAAGACAATGAATTCACTTACTGCGGTTGACAAATGAAACACTAGCTCCTCCTTCCACTGCAATGCCTGGGAGGGTGCAAGTCTTCAGCGTGTATCAAAGAAAACAATCAAACACGCGTACCCAGGAATGGGAAGCCGAGGTTCAACCAAGCTCCTGGTACGGCGTATATGAAATCAAAGTTGCCAAGGAAAGCTACGGGAACCTATTAGAGATGGCCGGTACAGCATTTATGGTGAACGTACCAGCTGCTATGCCTAACATCAAGGTCGTTACTTAATCCGTTCGCAAGACATTTAGAAAGGAAGTTGCATACCCATAACCGGGCCATTTAGTGCCGCAACGAGAATTTTGCTGTGACTATAGATCTTTCATCGTAGGGATAATCAGTCGACGATACTATGGAAGGGTAAGTATTGCAACGTACTGCGTGTGTGCAATCCGTGTTCGCAGCCACCACTCCATGGACAAGATGATCCCTCATCGAGCGTTGAGTCGGAGGATTCGGAACGTCACGGTTCGTGCCTTGTCGCTTCACGTCCGTACCACTTTTCGAAACAGTAAGCACTATAAGGAACGAAACGCTTGCTCTGTGGACTGCATACTTACGCGCAGAACCACTTCCCATTTGCTGTGTAAAGATAAGTTGGTGTAAGAAGCTACTGCTACAAAGTTGAAAATTTGCTTACCTTGCCATACAGTTGCTACTACATCTTCTCTCTTATCGATGGCCCGTAATGAGTTGGCAAATTCATCATAGTCTGCAAGGCGATAGTTGCTCAGTGAACGTAGTTTGCTCAAGCACACCGCAAACCTTCCGATGTCAGCGCATTCAGACGGTGAGGTTCGTTCAAGGTTATCGTAGCGATGCCCTGAGAAACATTCACCGAGATTTTACTTGCAGGCATGGTTAAGATGGTGTCTAAGAAGGTAAGGATTTGATCACAAGGGGATGAAGAGACCTTGTAAGTAATGTGTCTCGAATACACATGTGTATGAAATTCTATGAATGAATGAATAACCGGTTGCAACCGGTTCCGGTGCGGCGTATAATTTTCTCGACAAAGGTAAATACTAAATATTGACTTCAATATCTTGACCTACTCTCAACTTGAACGTCTGCAGTGATGATTATCCTAGACTGCATCTCTAACACGAGGCAGCGAACATCATGAAAGACTCCCCACTACAAACGCCTCCATGACATTATTGACGCATCAGCCCATCGAAGCATTTCTCTAAATTAATAGCCCAGCTACCGTGACGACCAGGCTGGTGTTGTGGGCTGAATTGGGGCTGAACTATTTTGAAGTACTAGGCCTGCACTGCTGGCAGAATCACAGATTTTTTTGATCATCGTGCTAGAAGTGTCTAGATGGATGGAAGACCACTAGGCCCGATAATAACATCGATTCAACTTGAATGTTCCAAGTAGTATCATCGTTTGTATCATGATCCCGTGACTATATTCCCATCCTGCTGCAGATAGCGGCAGTCAGACCGCTCGGCCCCTCGTCAACACGTTCCACAAAGTCAAATCTTCTCCCGATCCTTTCAAGATGTCCTTCCCGTCCACATCCCAATCCAGGGCAACTTGAAACTCCCGCGGTTCCGCATAGCTGCATGTCTCGAGGTTCTGCCCACAACACTTCACTCTTCTCTTCTTTTCCTGCTCCGCACTGAATACGCACCACTGAACAAACACCTCCATCGCATCACGAAAGTCCCAAGCCTTATCTGCCAACAATGCCGCCAGCGCGAAGAGACCGTCCACTTCCTGATTGCTTGCCCAGTGTATGTATGCAAGACAGCGCTATGCGCTTGAGAATGAACCAGGCCTCGGGCTAATCATTGTCGTCTTAAGAATCTGTTGAACAACCGAAGATGCATCAAACGTTTGCTCCGCTTCGTCACGAGCACGCACAGACTGGAACAAATATTCAAAATGTCACACCACCTGTAGACGACGGATGAGTATGAACGACGCACCTATACCCTATCGCCTTCAGCTGGCTTTTAACTGTCCTCGCATCCTTCCTGGACCAATGCACGGACATCACGTGACTAGTAGGAGCACATACTAGTAGCATTTCACAGTATATACCTGTGAGTATGTTTCATCTACCAATAGGGCATCGCCCCAACGGACAATAAATACTGATCTAAAAAACATTTTAGACATCTGGGTATCCCTGGTCCATCACCTGCCCTCATTGATCATTGACTGGGTCCAGTATAGTGTCCGCGGTGATCCGCTCAGACATCCACTCAAAAGGAATGGGTATCTTCCAGGCTGCGTAGGGAAGACTATCAGAGACCCTGGCTTGAATGTTTCCCTGGCCTCTACCTTCAGAATATTTTTATCGGTCTCCCGTAGGCAGACCAAATATAATGACTCAGTGAGTGCCGCCAATAAAGTTTACTGTAGTACTATAAACCGAACAGAATGAAGTCAATTGTTTCTTCGCTGCATAAATGATTCGTCAAGTTCGGAACGTCAGTCAGCGCTCATGATACTTAGAGACTGGCTTCGAGGTTGTATGAGAGTATATTCATGAGACCTTGAATAAGCTTTAACTCAAGCCAAACTTAGAAAGCACAACAGAGGAGTATCAAGCAACGACCCCCCATAGTATAGTACTGCTAATAATACATTGCACCCCCCCCCTTCCAAATTACCTAATCGTCATCTCGTGTCTTCGACCCAACCTCCTCCGACGAGTCTCCAAGTTTGAAGCTAAAGCGCTGAAGCTTGAAGTCTTGAAGCGTTCTCGAAAGTCCTTTTACTTTCCTTAGTTCTCAAGTGCATTTGAGAAATCGTGCAGAATGCCTACTGCAGTCAACGGTATAGCTACCAAATCCAATGCCAACGGAAAGGCCATTAAATCCAAAAACCAGCTTCGGCGAGCAAAGACAAAAGAAAAGAAAGTTCTCGCTGCTCAAACAACACCTGTGCGTTTCATATCTGTCTGAATTCGAAACAGTGAATCTATGGAATTGAATCATGGCTGCAGGAGCCCAATGGGAACTCTGACACGGTGAAGCAAGAGGAGGATGGGCCTTTTGGCAATGTCGAGTACGTGATTGAGCAGCTGGATGTCAAAGATCCAGCTCTTGTGGTCTTCTCCGACATTTTTGCACGTTTCCAGGCTCCTCAGGACTATGAAGAGGTGCGTCATATAATGTCCACCCACCTCCACTCCCTTAGTTCACGCAATATCTAGGCAAAGGATTCGGAACCCACAAAAGGGGAGGTCATCTACTCAGACGATGATATGGAATCAGATGCTGGTTCAGACGCAGAGGAGAAGAAACCTCTTTCGAAAAAGAAGCAACGCAAGATGGCCCGTTTGACGATTGCAGAGCTTAAGCAGCTGGTGGCGAAACCCGAGGCAGTCGAATGGACGGATCCTTCAGCCGCTGACCCAAGATTACTGCTCCATCTCAAGAGTTACCGCAACACCGCTCCTGTTCCTGCGCACTGGAGTGCAAAACGAGATTACCTGCAAGGAAAACGTGGTATTGAGAAGCCACCATTCCAGCTCCCTTCTTATATAGCAGATACGGGTATCGCGACAATGCGAGACGCAGTCAAAGAGAAGGAGGCTAACATGTCGTTAAAGGCCAAAACTCGTGAGCGGGTGCAGCCGAAGATGGGCAAGGTCGACATCGACTATCAAAAGCTACACGACGCCTTCTTCAAGTTTGCAACAAAACCAGTGGTTACTGGCTTTGGCGAGATGTAAAACGTTTGGTTCTTTTCATTTCACTTTCGCTTATTCTTTTGCTTGTCAGGTACTATGAGGGGAAGGAGTTTGAAACGTCGCTGAAAGAGAAACGACCAGGAGATTTGTCGCCAGAACTTGTTGAAGCGCTATCGATTCCGCCACTCGCACCTCCACCTTGGTTAATTAGCATGCAAAGATTTGGCCCTCCTCCGAGCTACCCGACTTTACGGATTCCTGGTCTCAATGCACCCATACCAGAGGGGTGAGTGTGGCACATTTCGACGAGCTCGAAGTCACTGATTACATCTTAAGCGCTCAATGGGGTTTCCATCCCGGTGGATGGGGTAAGCCACCGTTGGACGAGTATAATCGCCCTCTATACGGCGATGTGTTTGGTGTATTACCGAAAGTCACTGATGCGAATGTACGTGAAAAAGTTTTTATCAAATACCTTTCTCTTACGCTATTCTTCACAGATTGGTGAGCCAATTGACAAGATCACGTGGGGAGAGCTAGAGCCGGAGGAAGGCAAGTTCATTTCTATCATCCGTATTATCGCAAATGCTGAGAGAACCTGCAGAGGAGGAGGAAGAGGAGGAAGAAGAATCGGAAGAGGAGGACGAGGAAGAAGCTATGGAGGGAGCACCAGTCGATGGCCTTCAAACACCTTCCGGCCTGGAAACGCCATCCGGCATGGCCAGCGTTGTCTCCACTGTCGCCGGGGGACTTGAAACACCCGACTTCTTGGAGCTGCGGAAGACGTCTTCCAGACATCCATCAGACGTCTCAGAGAGCGGACCACGGTCACTATATCAGGTTGTGCCGGAGAAACAAACATCCGTGCGCGGGCTCATGGGTAGTGAGCGTGGATATGACGTCAGTCAAGTTACTAATCCGCACAACCTTCCCGTGCTTGGGGAAGAGCGGGGAACAAAGGCACGTCGAATTAGTTTTTAAATATTCGACAAGGAGACTGATCACTGTTACAGCGTAAGGCAAATGGTGTCGACATTTCTATCGATGCAGGCGAGATGGAAGGCATGACGGAGGATGAGCTACGACGAAAATACGAGCAACATTCACGAGGTTCGGCAGGAGTAGCGGGATCAAAAGAAGACTTCTCAGATATGGTAGCGAAGGAAATGGCGAAGAAGAAGCAAAAGATGGATCGCGAGCGGGATTCAAAGAAGGGCAAGGAATTTAAATTTTAATCCAGCTCTCAGTGTCTGCGCTATTCGTTGTACATTTGCTATTTTCCTGCAGGCTTGTAGTATCGGTTTATCATTATATCTCTTTGTCTTTTGGCCTCATTATGAAGTTCTTAATTTTATGAATGGCGCCAGAGGCATATATTTGATGGAATTGATGATCATGCATAGGTTTATGTCAACGGTTGTGTGAAGAGTAGGCTGTGCATTTCGGCGCCTAGTAGTAGTTGTCAGCTCTGATAAATCTGCTTGCAGTTGTGCGGAAAAAGTGACTTGAACTAGGCACGCGGCGCCTCCCCTTCCACTCGTTTCTCTCTCTTGCGTCGGATATCATATTCCTCAAGGAATGTCGCAAGTGAAGATGTGAGTCCTCTGATTTCTACTGGTACCGCCACTCAACAAGTATTCTCAGTGCGCTGCAGCCACCCCCAAATGTCGATTTTGTCGTTGGTCAGTGCAAAACTATTATGCTTGAACCTTTTTTATGACACAATACTCTTAGGCTATCCCGGCATACCACCGGCCGCGAAAGATCGTCCACAAGCAGCAGTCAAAGGTGTACGTGCTCGCTCCACACAACAATTGAGTTGACTCCTTATATCTGTTAGGCTGTTGAGGTGCGCGTGGGGCCTCAGGGCGCCAAAGCAAAATGGGTCCGTGTTGAGCTCAAGAAGATCGAGACACTCCCTGGCGGTGGTCAGACGAACTCCTACTTCGACTTCGTCGGCTCAAGTCCGATAAACCTATGGCAGTCGAGTGATGAATATGGGTTACTGCAGTCAGTGAGTGGTGTAGTCATCCCTGTGTAAATATGTCGGGGGCTGAGAGCTAGCGACAGCAAGACCTCCCGTTCCATATCCGTATACCTGAGTCCATTCCGCCAAGCATTGCACTTGAAAGAGGCGGTGAGTGGCTGCGCAACACAATTCTTGTTATCTGATGGTGTCTTTGCATAGCTGGCATCCGCTATGAGCTAGTCGCGACTGTTTGTACTCTTGGGAAGAAGTGGGTCTTCCAGTCAGACCTTGAGTCGCGTGAGCTGACTTTCCATCTGCAGAGGTTTCTTCCGCCGCCGTAAAACTGTTGTAACATCTCAAGCCACTACTATCATTATTGACAAGCACGAACTCCACTCAACATGGCCTGTATACGCACAACCGGAATCACGCACCGTCAAACAAGATGGTGTACATCTCACAGTGGAACGCCAACGAACATGCTTTGGACCAGGCGACCGTGTGTCTGTCATGGCTATCCTCAAATGCGACTCAGTGCATCCAATTGTCCTCCGTGGATTCGAATTTTCTCTCAAGGAAACAACCATATTCCGTGCTAGTACTCAGACTAGCAAGCGCAGTGGTCCGCAGTCGAAAACTGGGCTGGTTGGCGAGCAAAAGGTGCCTCTCAACGTCACGTTGTTTGGTGGCATGCAGCACAAGGCAGAAGTTGGGTGTTTAATCCCGAACACACATACCACTACCACGCTCAACGCTGCGAGGCATATTGACATAACATATGCAATCGTAGTCAAAGCGTGGTATAATTCGATGCAGGCAGTTACTATCGAGCTTCCTGTTATCGTCTCGAATTGGCCAAGGTGAGGACTTCAGTTAATATCTTATAGTATATATCTAATTGTAATATAGGAGCGTGTCCGAGGAAGCCGTTAGGTACGTGATACTCGCTGTTGCAACTGATCTATACTAAAAACCATTTCAGGCGTATTGGCGTCGCCCCAAGCCTTTGTATGACCCCATCAAGCGCTGCAGCCACGGTCCCGGCTCGCCCTCTCACCGGCAACTCACAGATTTCTGACTACAACTCCTCCACTCAAGGGCATGGGCGCACACCCTTGACACCTCCGGCCTCATCTATCAAGTACAATACTACTCCCAACGCACAAAATGGCGATAACCAGCACGACGATCTTGAAGTGGATGAGGTCGGCGCTCTCCAGAGTCACCAGTCGCGTGTGCCAGGCACAATAGACCAGCCAGGCTACGGCTCGTCGGCGCAAATTCCCATGGGTAGTATTCAGGAGGACAGCGCCCTCGCCGTGCGCCCTGCTGGTGGCTCGGGCCGCAGACGACGTGGCTCGGCTGTTGCTGCTTGGGACGCAAAACCGCCTCACAATCACTAATATCAGTGATCGGGATGCAGAGGTACGGGAGGCTGTGGAACAAGCACAGATAGCTGCCAGACAACAACAACCGACGACGCCACCGATGAGGGGTCAACGTTCGTGGCTCTCCGCTGAGGAAGAGAAGAGGAAGCTGTATGAGAGTGCAAGGGCTAAGGTTGAGCAGGTCCAGGGTAGTGCTGTCATGGCTCCCCAATCTAGTGAAACAGTGAGTAGATTCTAGTTAACATCCCAATCTCCTCCGCTAATCTTCCTTGTAGTCTCCACAACCGAAAGGTTCTCCTTCGTTCCGTGCTGCCTGGCCAACAGCAGAAGAGGAGAAAGTCCGTCTGTTCGACAAAGCTCAAGCCACTGCCAAACGCACTCAAGCACTTGGTGCCTCAAGCCACAGCCGAGATAGTTCGGAAGCCAATGGCTCGCCTGGACTCTCAACACCCTCTCGTAGCATCAATGCTCTGTCAGCAGGTGCCGCCCTCTACCAGCACGCACTATCCTCCATGAATAAGAACCCTACAAGCCACACAAGCCCCAATGCCAGTGCGAATATTAGCCCCTCACGGTCTCCCAACCCTCCCTCACCACCTCTTTCGACATCCTCCAAGATCGTTCCACACTACCAGTCCGCCGAGGAGGAGAAAGCTGCCTTAAAGCGGTACCATGAAGCCAAGCTCGCCGTCGATCGGAGCCAGAACACCCAGTACGCGACTCGCGAAGGAATTTCGTCATCCTCAGCAGCACCGGTTGCTTACGATACTCTCTACCCTTCATCCAGCATTTCTCGGAGCGTGTCCTACGGCGCGCAGCCAAGTGGGTCTGATATGCCTCCGCCGTTCGATGGGCCGAATGGCCAGCCACAGTATCTGAATGAAAAGGAGAGGCTGAGGAGGCACCACGAGGCACAGGATGCGGCCGCCATGGCTGCACAAAGTTCTGCTGCCGCTGACATGTCGCCCTCATACACTGCTTCCCCATTATACTCTCCTCCCGCACAATCTTCTGTAACTAGCGCCCTGTCAGAGAAGGAACTACTCCGGCGGAGGTTTGAGGAACAAGACGCTGCAGCACTTGCCCAGCAGCAGCCTCAGCCTCCCCCTCCACGAGCCGTCAATGGCTCACGCCTCCCGCCTCCCCCCGTTACACCTGTAAATGGCTTAAGACCACTCACAGCAGCAGAGGAGAAGGCACAGCTACGTGCCAAATACGCCGCCGAGGAACAGCAGGCCAATGGCAACGTGTCCGCATCTGCCTCAGGTTTCAACTCTCACCACCGTTCGCCATCGAGTGCTGTTCCCTCGCCAGCACCACCTCCTCCGCTCATGCCACGTCCACCCGTTGAGTATATCCAGGAGACTCAGGAGGAGGACGCTCGCGTGCGGTATTACGACAGCATAAGCATGGGAGTTGACAATTCGCCTATGCGAGTTGGGTCACCGTCAGGGATACAGCTCGACATACGCCCGTTCACGCCGTTCAACGTTGGGCTGTACGACCCTGGCAGTCCTGCGGCACAGCGGCTTCCACCGCCACCTCCCTGGCCGCCGCAGAATTGATTTCTGCATTATGAATAACCATCTCAACGGTTTATTTCTTGGATTTTTACCACAAGCTATTAATGCGTTTTCCTCGTTCCTTCCGATTGTGCCACTGACAACTCGGTCAGTGTATTTCTGTCTATCGTTACATTTTTCGACGTATTACAGCACTACATATGACGCTAACGTTATAATAACAGAGTGGTAGCAGTATCATTATAGCTCTACAGTGTTCTGACATTCCTTACGCACATCATGCCACTCATCTTGCTATTTATTCATCTTTTCCTCTTAGTCCTACTGCCCGCTGATGATGATGTCGATTCTGTCGGACCCGAGAGTGAACCAACATCCGCTATGTCTGATTTGCGCTTGCGACCCCGCGTGGCGTTCGCACTTTGGGCTGTTTGCATCAAAGACGTAGTAGCCATGTCCACGCCACCATCCTGAGAAGCAACCCCGTCAAGGAATGCGTGCATCTCTTCACTCGGCACTTTTTTGTCCACGACTGCTCCACGCGCTGTTGACGAGTCCAGCTTATCTGCCAACCTCAAGCTCTCTATATCTGTATCTTCCTCGCCCTGGCCTGTATGCCCAGCCGCATCATGTGCCAGATCCATTCCGTTAAGATATGAGCCGATGTCGAAAGAATCCTGCCCCGAGCCTACTCCATAGGGATCATCGAGATGCGGTTGCGCGCCATCAGTGGCGTCGAAAGTCGACGGGTCAAGGCCGAGGCTCTGAATAAGGGAATGGATATTCGTCTCTAGCGAGTCAACATCTGTGTTGATCTCATGTGCTGTACAGTAGGTCTTCTGCAGGTGATCGTCGTGTGCTTCGAAAGCCGCTAGGTCGGCGCCACCACTCTGCGGGAGGAGGGAGTATGAGCCAGGGTAGTCGGTCTGAAATGCGGCAGGGTCGTACGGCATCAGTTGGGCTGGGTTGGCGTTTGTGTGCTGCTGGGGCAGCTGGGATTGTGGCTGGGGCTGTGGCTGAGGCTGGGGCTGGGGCTGGGGCTGGGTGGGGAAATGCTGCTGCATGATGGACTGTGGTATCATTCCTTGCGTAGGTCCATCTGAAAACGAGAACCCTCCTCCACCAAGAGCGGCTATCAGTTTTCTGCATCTGCACAGGAGACGAAAGCACCTGGGATAGTGCGGCATGGATGAGGGCGTCATTCTGTGGGGAAGGCGGAGGGGGTGTTGTGGTTAGGGAATTGAAGGCAGGCGCAGAGACTGAGTGGTGAATCGGGGTAGGGCGAGAGAAGGAGTTATTTGGCAAGGTGGGTGAGGCGGCATTTATATTTGATGGGTTTGGATTGATGGCGTTGGCTGTAGTGGTGGTGTTGATGGGAGCGGTGTTGGGGCATGACGTGGTATTTGCATCTACTGAAGGTGTTGGGGCATCAGGAAGAGAGGGTTCAACGGACGCAAATCGGGGTGAAGTATTGCACGAAGGTCCATACTCAGATGGGATAGCGGAAGGTGTGTCGAGAGCTGCGAAAAAATCTGCAAAATCATGTAGACAGGGCGTCAATGCCGAGACACACATGCAAATAGAGGACGTACCCATTTCAGAAGACTCTGCACTATCTATGCTGGTCCTCTGCTGGTCCTCTAGGATCTCAGTAACGTCAATGCCCTTCTTTGCACCACTACCCCCGCCATTGCGTCCATCGCCAATCATCAACCGCTGTGGTTTCCTCGCGACGATCTCACCCCCCTCACCACCACTGACAACGCCACCTCCACCTATATCATCCTTACGTATTGGATTGTCTGCATGACCGAACACTCCTGCGAGGAATTTGAGGATACGATTAATGGTGTCCTGGTGTTTCTTATGCCTCTCACGAGCAATGATGGCTTCCTGCCAAAGATGTTGATTGGAGGACTTGAGGTCGTTGAGGTCAGCAGAAATGGCAGCTTGGTGTCTTTTGATGGCTTGAATACCATTCACGATTGAATTCATGTCCATCAATTGGCCAGGGGTCAAGGCGCCTACAGACGCAGCTGTGCCCACGTCTTTATTGGGAACTTCAGCGACGGCAGCAGCAACATCGGAGGTAGATGCGGTCTGCTTCTTGCGCTGGATAAGGCAGAGCATGTCCGGTTGGCCACGGAGGAAATGGGGGTGCTCGAAGTTCCAGAATTCGGTATCAGAATCCGAACGGAGCACACCTTGTTGGAGATGAGGAATTTTGTGAAAACCCATACATGTTGAGTTGGCGGACAAATGAGGAGAAGTTCTTGTGTTTGAACCAGCGTCCTAGGACTTCGCTTGCGAAACGCTCTTGGTCGAGCACTATGAGTGTGTCAAATTCGTTGAATATTGAACAGAGAAAGACTGGCGCTGGGACGTACCAAAGAAAGAGTCACCGGTGTCAGACCATCGAATGAGATCGTGGTCTGAGGGGTCATTAACCATTCTATAGAGCAAGATGGTTGTAGGATGTCAGGACTACAGCATCTGTGAGATTAGATTTGACGAAATACGCACTCATATAGTTTCTGGAGAAAGGCGGGGCACGAGCTGACGTGCTGGCCTGTTCAGATGCGACGAGCTAGCTCTGGGAGCTACTGCCAGATACATTTGTTGGTCTGTACTCATATCGTAGTCGATGAGAGACGAGAGAGTGACTTTTGCTTTCGACAATCTCGGCCACAAAGAGCCAACATGTCAAAACATTCAAACCGTAACCTTGTACATACGTCACCCGCGCTTGATCTCACTGCAATAATTTGACTAGGACTACGTACAAAAGACGTACGGTATATATGCATGTGAATCGGGCAAGTATCCTAAAAATTATATGGCTCCAGCCGTCTGATACACTTGGGCTGTGGTCTCTTCCATTCACCTGTGTTTGGATCTGGCCATAAGGAACCATTGTCCCACTGGGCTTGAAATGGTGGCTCATCACCGGGAAACCCAAAGGGCCAAGTAGGTAAGTAACACATCTCCTACATGACGAGGTCAGTCATTTCACAGAAAAGTAACTTGTCATTGTTACCTCGAAACCACAAGCCGGTCGGCATTTCACCCACACGCTCCTGTCTAACCAGGACATTAACTGTGTCACATCTTCCTTCCATTCACCCATGAGAGTACGTATGCGATCAGCTTTAGGGCGTTGTTCCAGAGGATACAGGGGGTCCACTCCAGTCATCATTCCAGAAGCCCACATCTTCGTGACGACACGGCATATTTCACGCGTAGTTTCCCGTACCGCCTGCAGGAGCAAACGTTCAGAGGGCATCAATGTCGTTCCATGAGCTACAATGGAGGCCGTGTGCGATGTAGCACATTCCCGAAAAACTTGGTGCAGCCCACGAATTTTTCGTGTTTGCAGTGACAGAGCTATAGGGAGGTAGAGCTGCAAACACAGTGTAGGGCAAAAGCACGGTACGCAGTCGCCTCTGGACTTGTTGTGCGTGGCCAAACATCGACCTATCGTCCAGCGTCATGTTCACAAGGTACTGCATCATCTCCAGGCGACTGGCATATCTATCAACCACCACCCGCAAAACGGTCTTCCAGTCAATGCCGCTGGTTGTCACGGGTGGTTGTATCAACGCTTGAGCTAACCTGTCTTGGACGCGTTCTATATCCTCCGATGATATTCCTTGCACTCGATGATCCCATCGCTCCAAGCCTACACGGCGCGGCACCAAGGAGGGAACAAGAGCGGTGTCGTAGAAAGAGACTAGCCCAGAAAGATCAAGCATAATTCGGGTTTCTCCTGGATGCATTTCGCGCCATGAAGTAGAATGCATTAATTCATAACAATAATGCACTAATGTCCGAGCATAAATCAGACCTATGTCAAAACATGGACATGGTCGCTCACCAGTATCGAGGTTCTCTGGCGGATCCGTAGGTGAGCCGTAACCGAAACGAGTGCTCTCGAGATGTAAGAACGAGACGACCTCCATGTGAGAGGTGAAGTCGCAGATCATGACTTCACTATGACCGTCGTTAGTAACAAATCACCAAGGAACTATGTGTGGGTTCGCACAAATTCATTTCCATCCTATAACACTCAAATCAGCATCGGACATTGATCCATCTCAAAATATGATGAACCTCATAAAGCCATTCACACCATATTTCTGGCCCCATTTACACAGATCCATAATGCGCTGCTCTTCATTGTCCACCCACTCGGGTTTCATCTTCGACCACGCCACGAGATCCTGGGTGTCCATCGTGCCCCTCAGGGATGTTCACAGCGCTGCTTCCGTCAAAATAAAGCACTTTCATCGGCCGAGTGACTTTAAGGGTGAGGTGCCAGCACCCTGTTTCGATTGACCCATGGCAGAAACCTATGGAATGGTCTGGCTCTACAGACACCCATTCCAGAGCGGTCGGTAAATGGGGACCGGTGAGGGCTCCATGGTAGAGGAGAGTGCCTACGGGAATGGTCCCTGGGACTATTGTATGACCTGCAGGACGTAAACGATGAGATGTGACATCTGCGCGATGTTTAGTGTTTTCAGACATACCGATACGATAACGCGTGTTGGGCCAGTGTTGAAGCAGGGAATTGGCCGTTTCGAACACCAGATGTCCTGTCGCATTCACCGCAGGCGCTTCACCGAGATCCCATTGTCGAAGATCATTTTCGATCCCCGTGTAAAAGGATAACGGTGCTTGACTCGACAGAGGTGTTTGTGCGGTCAGGACCCGTTCGAATGCAAAGAAAAGCCATACAGCTGTTGCTTTCCAGGTAGACAGCATTCCGACAAAGGGCCTTCGAGTTGTGAGCTTAGTGACACATTTGGCGCTACATCTTGTGTCCAAGGCGATCTCCAAAGTCCGACAGCGCTCAAAGCGAATGAGTTCAACAACGCCGCCTAATGCGACAAAGGGGAGACTCGAGTCACTCAACTAAGCCAACAGTGTGATTTCCTGATTTAGCCTGACTGTCACGCTGCGCTCATGAATTGTGAATAGCACGCTGTGGTGCTGTTCTATTGACATAGAAACGCCTGGAGTAGATTCGGAAGGGTGTATTTTACATATGTTGAATTTTCTATGTTGACAGGTTCATGGGAGCTGGGTGGATCTTGGTTTCAGTGTCCAAAAACCACTCATTTTGGGTACACTTGCGCAATATTTTATCTCAGGAAGGCTCCACAGCGTCGATTTAGATTTAACAGGCTTATTGATCATACTTGTCCTGCGGCTGTTCCGATTGAAATATATGTTGATTTCTGAGCTCTGAAGTGCGTTGCGCATTACCCATCGATTGTACATTACGGCTCAGGTGATAGTATTAGTGAGGAACTCCTAAACCGCCGGTGTGTCAAGCTCCCAAAACCTTGTACATACATCGCCCGCGCTTAAAGGAAACTCTACTGCAATGATTTGACAAAGACCAGGCAAGTATCCTAAAAACCATATGGCTCCAGCCGTCTGATACACTTGGGCTGTGGTCTCTTCCATTCACCTGTGTTTGGATCGGGCCATAAGGAAGCACTGTCCCGTTGGGCTTGAAATGGTGGCTCATCGCCGGGAAATCCAATGGGCCAAGTAGGTAAGTAGCACATCTCCTACATGACGAGGTCAGTCATTTCACAGAAAAGTAACTTGACTGTGTTACCTCAAAACCACAGGCAGGTCGGCATTTCACCCACGCGCTCCAGTCTAACCAGGACATTAACTGTGTCACATCCTCCTTCCATTCGCCAATGAGAGTACGTATGTGATCAGCTTCGGGGCTTTGTTCTGGAGGATACAAGGGGTCGACTCCAGTCATCATCCCAGAAGCCCACATCTTCGTGACGACGCGGCATATTTCACGCGTAGTTTCCTGTACCGCCTGCAGCAGCAAACGCTCAGAGGGCATCAATGTCGTTCCATGAGCTGCAATGGAGGCCGTGTGCGATGTAGCACATTCCCGAAAAACTGGTGCAGCCCACGAATTTGTCGCGTTTGCAGTGAGAGAGGTATTAGGAGGTAGAGCTGCAAACACAGTGTAGGGCAAAAGCACGGTACGCAGTCGCCTCTGGACTTGTTGTGCGTGGCCAAACATCGACCTATCGTCCAGCGTCCATGTTCGCAAGGTACTGCATCATCTCCAGGCGACTGGCATATCTATCAACTACCACCCGTAGGACAGTCTTCCAGTCAATGCCGCTGGTTGTCACGGGTGGTCGTGTCAATGCTTGAGCTAACCTGTCTTGGACGCGTTCTATATCCTCCGATGATATTCCTTGCACTCGATGATCCCATCGCTCCAAGCCTACACGGCGCGGCACCAAGGAGGGAACAAGAGCGGTGTCGTAAAAAGAGACTAGCCCAGAAAAATCAAGCACAATCCGAGTTTCTCCTGGATACATTTCGCGCCGTGAAGCAGAATGCATTAATTCATAATAATAATGCACTAGTGTCCGAGAATAAATCAGACCTATGGCAAAACATGAACATGGTCGCTCACCAGTATTGAGGTCCTCTGGTGGATCCGTAGGCGCGCCAGGAATGAGGCGAGTGTTCTCGAGATTTAAGAATGAAGCGACCTCCGTGTGAGAGGTGAAGTCGCAGATCATGACTTCACTATGACCGTCGTTAGTAACAAATCACCAATCAACTACGTATGGGTTCGCACAAATTCATTTCCATCCTATAACTCACATATCAGCATCAGGCATCATTGACCCATCTCAAAATCCAATGAACCTCACAAAGCCATTCACCCCATATCTCTGACCCCATTTACACAGATCCATAATGCGCTGCTCTTCATTGGCCACCCACTCGGGTTTCATCTTCGACCACGCCACGAGATCTTGGGTGTCCATCGTCCCCTCAGGAATTTTCGCAGCGCTGCTTCCGTCAAAATAGAGCACTTTCATCGGCCGAGTGACTTTAAGGGTGAGGTGCCAGCACCCTGTTTCGATTGACCCATGGCAGAAACCTATGGAATGGTCTGGCTCTACAGACACCCAATCCAGAGCGGTCGGTAAATGGGGACCGGCCAGGGATCCGTGGTAGAGGAGAGTGCCTACGGGAATAGTCCCTGGGACTATTGTATGACCTACAGGACGTAAACGATGAATTGTGATATCTGCGCGGTGTTCGGTATTTTCAGACATACCGATACGATAACGTGTGTTTGGCCAGTGCTGAAGCAGGGAATTGGCCGTTTCGAACACCAGATGTCCTGTCGCGTTCACCGCAGGCGCTTCACCGAGATCCCATTGTCCAAAATCATTTTCAACTCCCGTGTAAAAGAATAAAGGCGCATGACTCGACAGAGGTGTTTATACAGTCAGGACCCGTTCGAATGCAAGGAAAAGCCAAACTGCTGCAGCTTTCCTGGTCGACAGCATTCCGACTTACAGGGCCTTTGAGTTGTAAGCTTAGTCATATACTTGGTGCTACATCTTCTGTCGAATTCGGCGGTCGTCATCCACAAAGTTATAGTTATCTTGTACCAACATTAGTGAATTGATGAGTCCTTGATATTGTAGCCGTGAGAACTATAGAAGCATGTTATTATGCTCCTGCTGAATATCACCATTTATACTCGTAGAAATCTGTGTTGTTGATACATAGGCATGTATGTATGTAAATCTAGACTACAATGAGGAGTTTGTGAAAATATCGCGAAGTTGCAGCATCATAGCCAACAAGAGTTTCTAGCGTAATTGTATCCTAGGTATTGAGCATTCTCATTTGTTGTTATATCTGGTTTAAATTATAAAGCTAGCTAAACCTTTCTCCCGCAAAGTTGCGTTAACACTGAGCGTCAAATGTATATTAGTAGCGGAGCTTGTGACCAAGGTGTGACATAGCAGCATCATAGCCGGTAACACGTCACACGGTAACTGGGTCCAGATTGTTGAGCATTCTGACACATACTTCAGTCATTTTCCAACGTAGAACCAGTGCCCCGGATGTGCCAAAACCTTGTAGAAACATGGCCAGCCAGTCCTCGGCCGGTCCATGTAGAATACATGCTGGCTGGCCTTATATAGTCCACTATATATAATGTACTAGCACATGCTAAAAGCATGGCTGGCCGGTACATGTAAAGTAGAATCATGGCCGGCCAGTCCTCAGCTGGTCCATGTAGAATACATGCTGGCCGGCCTTATATAGTCCACTATATATAATAATGTACTAGGACGTGCTAAAAGCATGGCTGGCCGGTAAATGTAAAGTAGAACCATGGCCAGGCAGTCCTCAGCTGGTCCATGTAGAATACATGCCGGCTGGCCTTATATAGTCCACTGTATATCATAATGTACTAGCACCAGCATGGCTGGCCGGTAGATGTAAAATAACTGCTGGCCAGCTCAATTCATTATCCTTAGTATCCTTACCTACTACTAGATTAACATGTAGCATTGGTGCTGGCCGGTCTCATATCCCCCACTACTTTTGATAGACTATGTATTATATTGAGTGTTATCACAAAGATCATATATAGGCCAGCCAGTACAGTACTACAGTACTATTCATTAGTACTCATTGCATCTACCTATGTAGAAGCAGGCTGGCCAGCTTATAGGCTGAACCTAGTGCACCGGCCAGTCTGCATCTACCTATGTAGAGGCAAAGCTGGCCGGTTTGTAGGTCTAAACCTTTGCACCAGCTGGTTTGCACCTACCTATGTAGAAGCAAGGCTGGCCGGCCTGTAGGTTTGAACATAGTGCACCGGCTGGTTTGTATCTACCTATGTAGAGGCAAGGCTGGCCGGTTTGTAGGTCTGAACCTTTGCACCGGCCAGTTTGTATCTACCTATGTAGAGGCAAGGCTGGCCGGTTTGTAGGTCTGGACCTTTGCACCGGCCGGTCTGCATCTACCTATGTAGAAGCAAGGCTGGCCAGCCTGTAGGTCTGAACCTAGTACACCGGCCGGTGTGCATCTACCTATGTAGAGGCAGGGCTAGCCGGTTTGTATTAGGTCTGAACCTTTGCACTGGCCGGTTTAATTCTAGCCCAAGCCTTGACAAGTAGATATAATTATTGTACTTAGCAATAAAGGCAATGTAGGATACAAGGTTATATCTTCTGGGCTTTCTTAGAAGGTTGCCTTGCCCTACCTGATCTTCGGACCTCGGGCATAGTCCTGCGCTTCTTAGATTTACTTGATGAAGCTTGGGGAATCATTCTCTTCCTCCCTTTCTGCACCACCTCCTCGACTTCATCCTGCTCCTGCTCCTGTTCCTGCTCCTGCTCCTGCTCCACAACCCTATCCATTTCCTGGTTCACCACTGCTTCCAGCCCAATTCCTAGAACCACTGGCATTGCAGATGGTGCCCCTGAGATTGGAGATGTCTGTAGTGTCTCCAAACTGGCCTTCAATGCAGCATATGACACATGCACATTCTCAGGGAGATAAGATCCTCCCCAAGACCAGTCAGCCCAGGTAGGCAAACCTGAGCATTGCTCTGAAATTGGCTGTTGGACAAATGAGCTATGAGATTAAAACATAGCTCTGAGTCACCCAACCTTTTGATTAGCTAACATTGCGAGATCCCTAACAGCATCTACAAGCTCCAAGTAGTTTTCAGTCTTGCTAAGAGATTCTAAAAACATATATCGGTCATTGATTGCAACGTCGTCTGGGGTTGTCTGGTTGGAGTGCTCGGCTGGTTGTGTTCTATGTTCTGTGGCATGAGAACCACTTAAGGAAGCCGGCCGGTCTTGGTCTTCTTCGTCAGAGTCAAGGGCACTTACTCTTCTCTTCTCAGACTTCCTTTTTTGTGCTTCATTTCGTACATTCGCACGCACATCACCAACCTTGGCCTTGATAAAAACAACTAGCTTTTGTTCTGCAGCAGAAACATCGTTCCCAATGCTTCCAAAGCCGATTTACCTCCTCTGTCTTCATATGAGAAGGGTCTTTGACCACAAATCCAGTGGGAACTGAACCAGGTTCCAAATAATTGGATGAGCTGGCAGTTATCACACCCCAAGGCACAGGTCTAGAGCCACTGGTGCAAACTTCTACAAACCAATGAGTCCATCAAATATCACCTTCATATTGAAAATGTGAGATCTTACTGTATGAAGCATGAAATATGCCTCTAATCAATTCATGTTGGCCCTTGAGGCCAATGCCATCACGCGTAGGAAGTATTGCATACCCATCATCATCTAGGATAATTTCAGGTATGACAGGTCCATTACTGCCATCTTCATTGTCTGAACCGGCATGGTCTTCATCCTCTGAAGGGTCTATCAATTTAAGTTGACAATCAGTGACCCAATTATTTAAAACAAAATCAAACACGTACAAAATTCGGTCTTGGACCATTCTGCGAAGGATTCAAATCCAGCCGAAGTCCACTCCTTGATACCTCCTGAGCTGACAGAAAACCTCTTCCTGGTATTCTGAGGCTCGGTTTCATGGCTATAGTTGAGTTAGCCTTGAGACTTCAATGATGATTGGATTACTTACAAAGTGACAGACAATGTCTGACTAGCTTTTTTCTTGTGACTCACGAGCATGACTACACGACAACCCATGGTGCGCCTGATTTGCTCTGAAAAATCTTCCAGAGTTTTCTTGAGGTAGTTCTTACGGTACCTTAGGGCAAATATGAGACTGAAACAATAGTAGATTTCGTCAAACTTATGCTGCTTGACTTTCTTCTGGTGCCCCCTCCTTGTTCCATTTCTTCATGGCTGACTTGACCTCATGCTGTTGTGAAGTTGTCATGTTGCCGAACCATTCCCTTGCATGCCCTGTTCGATACTTGATCGAATGCTGCAAGCCCTTCCTTTGCTGCTCGGCCTTGTCATACGCATCAATTTCCTGCTTAAATAATTTTTGCGCCACATCCCATTCAGACACTGTTTTCTTGTAGAATGATACCTCCTTGGGCCGACTTGTGGCCTCTCGTTTCCGTGCCTCTTCATTGTCTTCACAGATTTTGGCATAGTATTGCTTTATCGCCTGTAGGTAGCATTCATGTAGATTTAAACAACTAAATATAGTACACCATTAAATAATCATTACCTTTTTCAAGGAAGAAGGCAAGGTTGAATCTTCCTCTTGTTGCTCATGGGCGGCCAGTATAGCCTTGCAGATCTTTTTCACCACACGTTTTTGAGAAGATTTTGAATCTGCGGTCAAAATGGCCTTTTGGTGATGATCAAGAATTGATTGAAACCTAGCAGTCCAGTCAGAAGACATTAAGCCAAAAAAAACAGAGATGAGACTGCGAGTAAGCTGGTACAAGTAGGAGGGTGACCGGCCGAAACTAATTTGAATATGAGCCACTGGAACAATAATGTGTGATGGTGTTCTTACGTGAGAGCCAAGTACATTCAATCAGACTGTTAATTCACATTGCCGTCACCATGGTTAATTCGTGGTATCCACATGACTCAGACATGAGCACAAGATCAAGATGACGGCTGAAAGTTATACTTCAATCAAGTTAGGAACATAGACGCTGTAGGTAATAGAAACGACTTCAAATAGTTAAATTGAAAATCTAACTACACACTAGGGGCGTAATCCAAAACAGGTCCAAAAAATTCACTGAATTGAGACATTAAGGTAAATAACTCAAGACAAAAGCATATAATCAGCAACCTCATCCTCATCATCATCGGGGATACCAGGCATGGGCGTCAAGGCCATTGAAATCCAGCATGAACTGGGCCTTTTCCTGCCAAAAGGATCCTTGGATGCGCCGGTTGTGAGAATGTATACCCTTTCCTGCATTTGTCATTCTTGCATTCAAAGACATAGTCCTTGTGCATGGAGACAGAACGCCAGGCATTAGCCCACCCACACTCTGGGCATTGGACCGGCAGGTACTGACCCCATGGGCGAAGTTCAGAATGCATCCAGGAGAACTGAGTGATGGTCAATGAATCAGAGCCATCGGGCATCAGCAAAAACACATCACTATGGTGCCCCAGCTTGTAGGACTGGCCTAGCATGTCAGGGAAGACAACATGAATGGGCAGCTGCTCAATAATTACCAGTTCCGCAAACGCTAGCAAAAGGTGCGTTGTGAAACCTGGTTGGAAGCAGACAGCATTGAAGCCGATAGTAGCCATCATCTGATGGCTGGTTTACTAAGTTAGTCTATGAGACGCTAAGGTCAACCAAAATACTCACTCTATGACCGCCTTTTGCAAGCATGCAAATGAGGTCGCGTTGTTGATGAGTGCGCCACAAGAAAAAAGCCACAGGTATGATTCACCCGCCCCATGAATCAAGGGATGCCAAGGTGAAAGGAGAACATCAAGAACCTTGCAATCCAGTGAGCAAGTACCACATGAGTCAATAGCGGTCACTTACAGAGTGAACACGGGCAGAGACATATTGCTTCTTCCCCTCATACCCGACAAACAGATTGCCATGGTCGTTGTCAGTATGGTTAGTGATTGCAATGACGATGCGCGGCCAGTCCGAGTCCAACAGCGCCTGAACCATTGCACTTGCCTTGGACTGGTAATTCTCGATCTTCGAGCCACTGCCAATGTCGAACACAACAGTGCGAAAGTTGAATCCACCACTGGGGAAGTAGGGCCGAAGAAAGTCGGAGGCAAGTTCGAATCAACCGCCGGTTGTGTCGTGGTCGACAAGGACAAGATGCAGCATGAGGAGGGGTGCCGAAGAGAGTTGAGAGAGGAGCGAGACCTCCAGGGTACCATGGATGGGGAGGAACGAGGCAAAAAACGGGTTTTCCCTTCCGGTAAAAGCCCTACAACTTCAAGTTAATGCTGGTTAGAGAGAAAAGGACAATAACTTACAAAATAGGGCGAGTAAGACACATGTCCATGGTATTGTCCTGCCACATGGCAAGAGATGCAGACAAATGTGACATTGTCTTTGGTGATCGTGTGTGCACTGGCAGGGGGAATATCCATGCAGCGTGAGCACATCACGCGTGGGCAAGTGTTGCAGAGGAAGAGGCGATTGTCTCCAACAGAACCGTCCCTGCAAATGAGACAGAACTGCAAAAGAAAACACAGGTTAGTGCAAACAAGCATGCAGCAATCCACATACCTCATTGTGGTGGAACGGCTCACAAACCTCGATCTCCTTCGGCGCAGGAACCACTTGGGTGGTTGACGGCAATGGCAACACGATTCGTGGCGCGGTGCCACCAGTGGACTTCTTGCAGGTTTGCTTGGATTTGACCATGATCGGGCTATTAATAATAGATGGTTTATAATTAGTAAATGACACAAAGTAAACAAAGTAAACAAGACTTACCAGGATAGTGTAAACAAAGGTAAAGAGAGAGTGCTCAGCGTACTTAGAAAGAAATGAACCAAGTTGAGATTGGTGTTGGTTGATTTTGATAAATAGATACAAACAAACGCGTTGCACAAACAGATGCGTTGCACGCGCCACAGTGTCACGTGTCCAAACCACAAATTCAACACGTCACATTGTTAATTCCACAAATTCAACATATGATGCAGACTCGCTGTGTCACATGTTGAATTTGTGGAATTAACAATGTGACGTGTTGAATTTGTGGTTTGGACACGTGACACTGTGGCGCTGCAATGCGTCTGTTTGTGCAACGCATTTGTTTGTATCTATTTATCAAAATCAACCAACGCCAATCTCAACTTGCCACAAAGTCAACATGTGACACAGCGAGTCTGCATCATATGTTGAATTTGTGGAATTTGCATGTCACAAATCCATAAGTCAATAACATTGCTGATTGTTTGTCAGCGCTTTTGTGTTTGTTGTGTCAACAAACAATGACAAACTGACCTTCGTATATGAAGTTCAACTTCACTTCTCATGGTTCAATCTGTCCTTCCACCATCCTCTTGTCATCAACCATACTTCATCTCTTTGTATCTTTGTGCGCTGTTATTCCGGGGTGACTTCTGGTGTACTCCTTTGGGTTCTTGCAGGCTGCAGCTGCAAGAATTCAAAGGTACTACTACCTTATAGTCGCCCTTCCAAAATTGTAAGTCTTGATTTTTGGTGCACCTACTTACTAATTGTTTTTATTTACATGTACTATCTTTCTCTTGAGTTCCCTGAAGGTAAGTATTTCCTTGCTCTCATCCGCTTGCTAATATCCGTTCTACTTAGCATTATGTTACTTGGGGATAGCGCAGTGTATGCCGCTTGTCCTGACAGTCGCCCTTCCAAAATTGTAAGTCCCGATTTTTTGGTGCGCCTACATACTCATTGTTTTCATCTACATGTACTATCTTTCTCTGGAGTTTCCGGAAGGTAAGTACTTCTTTTCTCACATCCGCTTGCTGATATCCGTTCTACTTAGCATTATGGTACTTAGGATAGTGCAGTGCATGCCATTTGTCAGTGGCTCCTGCTCTTTGGGACTGGGGATAGCGCAGTGCATGCCACTTGTCAGTGGCTCCTGCTCTTTGGGACTGGGATGGCGCAGTGCATGCCACTTGTCAGTGGCTCCTGCTCTTTGAGACTGGGATGGCGCAGTGCATGCCACTTGTCAGTGGCTCCTGCTCTTTGGGACTGGGGGATCAAGTCCTTGCCTCTTGTTAGCGGTTCCTAATGGTAAGCACTCTCTCACTCATGACCTCAACTCATATGCTTCATTCTACAGGACATCCCTTCTTCCTCCTGCTCTGTGAGACTGGGATCAAGTCCCTGCTGCTTGCCGGCGGCTCCTTCATTATGGTAAGCGCTCTGATACTCATGACCTTAACTGATCTGCTTTGTTCTACAGGCCAAGACCTTCGTCCATGCACCAAGCGCTCTCACTCTCCAGTTAAGTAGCTGTCTTCTTTCAAATTTCGCTCTAACATCTACACAGGACAGTAGTATATTTATATTTATTACCTATAATTTCACTTGGACTGTGAGGCTTTGGTGAGGAGGGCCCCCTCATTGAAGTCTCGCAGCTCCCCTTTTGTAATTTTTACTTGAATAATTTGAATAATTGTAGTAATTTTCGTCGTTTGTAATTGAAACTTGGCCTTGCTTCAAAACTTAATTTTTGGCCAGCTGAAAAGTTACGTGACCGTGTGTAGATTAGTAAGCAAAGTCGCCCAAGCCAACATCAAGTCCAACAGAGTTAACCACACCAGGTTGGTTAACCTCATAGGTGCCATCATCTATATGTTTTCTTAGATAGATAATGTTCTATATCTGAGTTAGTTAACCATGCCATGTATAATATAGCCATGCCCATGTATAAAACAAGTTTGTGCGCCTCACCAGGTTGAATACTGATGGTCAACAGACACATGCCAAGTTGGTGGCCAATGAGAACACCATACTTTCAATACTGGCGGCCATGCCAGGTTGGTTAACTGATAAGACTTCTTGCCAGTCCTTAAGACCCTGATATTTGCAATATCATGTGGGCCACCAGTATTGAAAATATCAAGTGACCTTAACTCTTACAGTTTGAGAGTCCCTGCCAGATAATGGAAGCTTGCAGGAAGAGTACCTGGAAGAGTACATAATAACTGTTCCGTCAAAAAGGTAAACCAACCTGGCATGGCTAACCAGCCAGGCATGGTAAACCTCAACTCTTCTGGTTTGAGAGTCCCTGCCAGATAATGGAAGCTCTCAGGAACAGTACATGATGACGGTTCTGTCAAAGGTAAACCCTTAACTCTTATGGTTTGAGAGTCCCTGCCAGATAATGAAAGCTCATGGGAAGAGTACAGGTAAACCAACCTGGTGTGGTAAACCAACCGGGCATGGTAAACCTCAACTCTTCTGGTTTGAGAGTCCCTGCCAGATAATGGAAGCTCATGGGAAGAGTACAGGTAAACCAACTGGGCATGGTAAACCTTAACTCTTATGGTTTGAGAGTCCCTGCCAGATAATGGAAGCTCATGGGAAGAGTACATGATAACTGTTCTGTCAAAGGTAAACCCAACCAGGCATAAGGACTGGCAAGAAGTCTTATCCTGCACCAACCCATTCATCAACAGGTGGTTGTGGTCCAGCAACCACAGATGGTGGTGGTCCAGCACAGATAGGTTGGTCAGTATTTGCCAGGTTGCAGACCACTACCTATCAAAGAAAAACATATAGATAGGTTGGTCAGTATTTGCCAGGTTGGTGGACCAGGTGGTTGTGGTCCAGCAACCATAGATGGTGGTGGTCCAGCACAGATAGGTTGGTCAGTATTTGCCAGGTTGGTGGACCAGGTTGGTTGTGGTCCAGCAACCACAGATGGTGGCGGTCCAGCACACTGATCAGGAAAAACTGTTGTTCTATATAGGTGCTACGGTCTGTGATAGCTAGTATAGTGTTGTATAGACTATAGGCAGCTGTGGGGCTCTATACAGCACTATAGAAAACTTCATGTGATATAATTAAAAAGAATTTTACCATAAAGTTTGATATGCGTATTTGGAAGTAAAACAATTAAGAAAAAGGTATCACATCTATCTAAAACACTATCTGAGGTCCATTCAATTGGTAAAGCTGTACGTCCAAAGTTTGGTATGAGTTGGCATGTCTGTCTAATAGAAGATAGAGATATAACTTGGCCTGGGGTAAAGCCATCTGCGTTAGATAGACATTTTTTGACAAGATACATTTCATGATAATCTTCAGCAGCAGGCTTTAAAGGTGCATACCACTCAACATAAGCCAGTGGATCCTTAGTCCAAGCAGGAGTAACGGAGCCATATACTTGTGAAGGTAATTTGAAAATGACCTTCAAGCGACCAATTCTTGTACCTATAGGTAGGGTTAAATTACTCACTGGCATAGAATATTTAATAACTTGAAACTTACCTTTAAGACCAGTGGTTTCACAATCTGAAGTATCCATCACAACCACAGTGTCAAAGCGTGCAGGTTTACCTCCTAAAGAGGGTTTGGCTTTGACTGTATCTGTCTCCTCCTGATCAAAATCATTGTCGTTTCCTAAGGAGTCAAGACAAAACTTGAACCCATGATAAATGTCTATATGGCTAAAAGGTAGATCCATGTGTCGTAGTCGTCCTCTTGAGTGTGGATCAGAAAGCTGTGAATTGAGATACGAAATAAGATCTTTTCTTGAAGCCTTGACAGTTATGATCTTGAATGACATCCAGAATGTGTCGCCTAGCTTGATGAGGTCTCTTGGTTAAAAGGAGTCTTTGATCCCCAAATCTAGAGTGCGCAAACTCCTCCTCCTCATCCTCCATAGACATTTTCAGATAACTCTGAAGGAGGAAACCTTTTCCCTTCTAGTTAGCCATGCTATCATCTGAGGCTTCTCATTTTCTGCCATTTGACGCATACCAAGCTTCCTTGCAGAAGTCTATATGAAACCTCTCAAACATCTCCGTATTATAGTTGTCAGTGGTGCCAAAGTTTTTTGATGTTCTCCAAATAATGTTGCAGAGAGTGGAATTTTGGGATGTCTAGGTTGTCTCTGACTCCAAGATTGATAATAACCTCCTTGTGTTGGTGGAAGTCCTCTAGAGCCTTTTGCATATATTGGAGAGTGGTGTCGTCATGAGTTGGATATTGAGCCAGATATATGAAATCCAGGAGGGAACGATATGCCTGGATAACTCCTCTTGGAACCTTGCCAATAAGACAACCTAATAGCACTCTAGCCATATGTTTTCTCTCCTTGCCTCCTATTTGACCCATACCAGACCAACCATTATGAAAGTGTCCGTACACCATAACAGGGGGGGAGTGCTTTTATACGTCGGTCCAATTCTTCTTCATCCATAAGTTCTTGACACCACTCCACAATATGTTTGAATACTCCTTGATATAATTGATGGAGAACGTCTGATGTTATTGCCAGGTGGATATCACAAAGAGGAAAATCAAGCCAGAATGGCTCAAAGACACCTCCTGCAACATCTTGTGACATGCAGTGCTGACGAAAAGCTGCATTGGAATTTGTGTTGGTATTGGCTTCATTGATGACAGAGGTTGTCCATGACTGCGTGCGTCTAGCAAATTGTTGAACTTCTGCTAACTGGTCCGCTCTAGCTTTGCACTTAGGACAAGTCCCGTACTTGGAACATGTAGCCAAGCATTGCTCTGGATAGTCGGCCACATAGCAAGCTATAATGGGAAAAACTAGACGGACTAGGCCATCCCCTCCTGTAATCTCTACTCCAGTCCTTCCTGCCTGCTTCAATGGCTCCAAAATGATGCGTAGGGATTCATGGAAAAGTCTTTGAGTTCTAGAAGACGCTTCTTTGACAGACAGCTCCTCCTTCAACACTTTATCCACTGATAAGTAGCCTATCAGTATACAGGCATGTTGTCCAGGTTTACGTCGCATGGCTCTGGGTATATTTCCCAAAGTTAAGTACACACGGGATATGCAGATTTTGATGCTGAGAATCGTGTGAGCTGAGTTTTGTCTGAGGCAATGATAACAGGTGCTACAGATGCTCCGTCAGGTAGTCTATCCTGCAATGTCATTAATTGAAATGTTACGTTCTCCAAGATAATCTTACACCCACCTGAACAGCATGCCACCATCTTCCACTCCACATTTCATTATAGATCCTGGTTGAATGTGTAGAGTCGGTGAATATAGTTGATGGTTTGTAGACTATATCCCTAGCGTGCGCAGGATTACCCAATAATGCCTGGATAGCATCTAAAGGGTTTCTATAGTGCAGCTCATGCTTATGTTGAGGCTTATCATGGAAGGCAAGATGGGTTGACTGCCATTTAGCACGAGCTGGGATACTGTCTACAGTTTGATGGAGTGATCTAGTATTGTGATACTGAAGCCCTAGACGTTCTCTAACCTAAATGCACATTAGTTGATATGAAAAACTTCATAAATGCTCAATACACTTACCCCTGGAATAGCCAATAATCTGTCAAAAGCCTTGTGTCCTATACCCTCTTGCACTGCCCAACAAGCCACCTCCCAGTCCAAACTGCGAAGCAAATGGATAGAATAAACGATCTTCTTCCTCCATCTCTATTCCGTTCATCTCCACATCATCTTCATCTTCTGTTAAACCAAACTTCTGACGCCATTTGGCATGTAAGTTTTGGTCAATGCGTATCACTTTGCCAGCATGAGGATGCCACTCTGTCACCCTATCATCTTCCTCATCTGGCAGGGAGCGTGCATGCCTGGATGGCCCAGGGACTCCTGGCTGTTCCAGTGGATCATCTATGTCCATAAAGCCCTGGTCAGCATCCATCCATTGGCCTGATATTTACAGTAAGCCCTCCCTCTTCCAATATAAAAATAATGGAGGCGCTACTCACCCTGAGCATTTAGTGGTATTAGTTGAAAAAGCTCATCATCTACTTCATCCACCATTGTGTTTGATAGATCCTCCATTGAATCTTGGTTGGTACTCCCATCTTCTGTATCCAACTCACGACATTTTCCTGCCTTGTACCACTTGCAGCTGGTGGCATTTCGAAGGTGAGCATTAAGGCCCTTTAGGAGTACTAAAAGATCGTGTACAACCAGATGCTGGGACATCTATAAGGCATTGAGGCCTCAGCCAACATACGCATGTGGGATACCATGTATTTTGAAATAGAACAGGGGGATTGACGTTGGTGGGACTTCTTCAGTTTTGATAAACCTTTAAGCTGTTGTCCAATACAAATGAGTTATATTTAGGTCGTACTTATTTCTGGCCCAAAGCTACGCCAAAGCATCATTGGAAATACAAATGTTCTAAACAAACTGCGTGATGCTTACAGACAACAAGGAAAACGTGATGCAAACAGACAACAGGCAATCAGGTAAAAAAGAGCAGGAAACAATGGGATAAGGCATATATGAATCAAATAAAGATAAAAGAAAGCGTCCAATACTCTCTACACAGTAGCCCCAATGACAATCACTAAGCGCAAAAGGAAGTCAACATGCAAAATCAGCCCGCCACTCGCTGCCACTGACACGGGCGGGTGCAACAAGCCTAACTCGATCGCGAGTCCGCATTCCTGAGCCCTTCAAAACTTTTGATGAGCTTGCTGGACCAAGCGCTCGCTCTTCATCAGGGGGGCAGGGCATGCGCGCAAATAAATTGGATGCAATGTTGGCATTTGCGCGCCCGATCTGGTGATGCATAATATTCATACGCATTGCAGGTAAGCGACATGAACTGGTGGCAACTCCTGGGGCGCCTGTCGCATTACGCCACTCTTCCGTCATGGGCACAGGCTTGCAGAGATCAGGATGATCTGTAGATAGAGAGTCGAGTGCACGCTGGATGATACGGATCATGCCTGCATGTGTGACTGCCTTCTCATAAAAGAGAAGATCCTGCATCTCTCTCAACATCGTTTTGATAGCCTCACAGGACCACTCTCTACCCAGCCGCCCTTCCAGAAGTCGGAAACCATCATGATTGCAGAAGAAGCGCTCCTTCCTTGCCGCCTCACGCCAGATTGCAACTTCCTCTGTCGCATTTTCTAGCCAGATCCCAAGGTAATGATCGGATTCTTCTGGGGTGTCTCTGCCTGGAAGTGGCTTCAAGACGTATGGTTCGTTGAACATGAAGGCAAGGCTGAGAATGACGTAGTAGTAACCTTCCAGGTCGTGTTGCCACAACGCGTGGAACAGGCGCTGCACCTGGTTTGTGAGCAAACATGGAATCCACAGCCATCCATGCTCGTGTACCCTGTCAATAATGTACCATTAGGAAGAGATAATGATAGTGGTTGATGCACTAACCGTCAGCTCATAAAGACCCCCACCGTTCTCATCACCATTAGCGAAATTCTGCAGGTCCTCTTCCACATTGGAAGCACCCCATGCCGACACCTTGATTTGAACGAACCCTTTGTCCTCTACCTGTACCTTCGCCACTTCAGGAAGTGCGCGTTTCTTTGAAGTGCTGGGTTCTGGATTTGCGATGCTACTGATCCCCCGCTTTCGCTGAACTTGAGCGACAGCCCCTGCGGGAAGCACACTGGAACCAGCATCAACTTGCTGACCTGCAGAACGAGTTTTAGCAGCTTTGCGTTTGCGAGGCTTGCGAGTTGTGGGCAAAGGGTGTGCAGGGGCGACTGGAATGGCCGGAGTGCTCTGTGTAAGCAGAGGTAGGGGAGACGGGATGGAGAAGTGGGTGAGGTGTGAAGGACAGCAGCGTCTTGAGGAGGTACGGATGACGGGGTGAGAGAAACTGGGTGTGGTGTGAGGGAGAGCAGCGTCTTGAGAAATCGGAGGCAAGGAAGGGCGTGTGTTGTCTTCAAAGATCTTGGGTGGGAGCGGTCCTCGTGAGGAAATGTCTTGAGGGGCCCAGGAAGCAAATGCGTGGTCGAATAGCAAGCCACGTCTGATATTGCTATTGTTTATGTGACCCCAGTCAGACTTGTCGGGATGGACAAGTCCCAAGTTCCACAGCAAGGTATCTGCTTGCATGAACGATAGAGGGAATAGCTCATCACTCTCAGAGCCATTGTCTGAGATGCGGTATGGTGAATAGGCTTGACCATGTGCTGTGCGATACATTCAGTAGCAGCTGAGACCAGTTATTGTTGATACTCACCCCGGATACAGTCCATGACACCCGTCAAAGCTTCATAGATGCATGAAAATTCATAGATTGGCGCACATAGAGGGTATAAGAAGTGTCGAGTAAGAATACGCTCCTGGTAAACTTTCCCGATCCATGCGTTCAAGTCCCTGATCATGCTCGGCAATCATGAGCTTTAAGACTGGATGTCAGGCTGTGACGAGCCAATGCGAGTGTTGGAACATTCCAGGAAAGCCGATTGTGCACGGTGCTCTGCCACGGTAGAGGCCTGGGCTTCCTTGTATTTCAAGGCAAGTGCCGGCAGGACAAATGCAGGGGGGACAAGCACAAGTCCCTCAAAGAGAGATCGAGTTACGCCCTGAACACCTTTCAATCGTAGATAGTTCAGGACCATGCCTTCTGTATGAGGCGTGCGAGATCCAACCAAGTATCTTTGACAACAAATCGACTCCATGTCAGCCATGCCCTTCAACCATTTCTGCAAGGCCTCGCCGTTCGGGCCCGTTTCTCAATGCTTGATTGATCCGATCTTTGGGTAATGTGACCCGACGGACAACAGTGCACGGCCATTGAGGTTGTTGCTGATGAATAATACCATATCGATCGGTACCTTCCCAAAGTGTTTGGTTTGGATGAAACAAATGTCGCTGTTAGGGTCGTGGACAATTGTGGGGTCGAATCCCAGTAGACCTGTACCAACAGTTGTCATGTTTGGAAAACACATAGATTTATGATTGTACACACCGCGATGGGCCAAAGATAAGTACAATACCAGCCTGAAGTATTCCTCACTATCTTCATGTATCCCTAATACGTCAAGACAAACAGATCCACCACGATCAAAAAATACGAAGGTAAACTGGGCACCAAGGAATTGCAAGACCAGGGCAAAAGTACGGGAATCCTGACTGGCGTACATTGTATTTGCCCGTTTCGCCACCTCATCATACCATAGCGGATTTTTGATGTCAACGCCACTCTTCTTCATCTCGCCAATGGTAGTGAGGTTACGCCAATCTTCAGGTAAGTCCAAATCAACGAGGATGATGTCGGGTTTGCGATCTTCAGCCGAGCCTGGAAGGACCTTCTGACAATACTCGGCGGACCACTTTCGATGGATATGAGACGGTCCGAGTAAGGTTAGCACCTCTTCTACCAATCGATTCAAAAAAAATGGCCATAAGATCTTCGGTACTTGGCCCGTTACTTGCGTGTGGCGTGGTGGGGTTGTGTAAGATCTGGACAGGCTATCGCTGGCGTCCAATGATCTATGTATCCGCGTAAGCTGACATGATGTATAATGGAATAGGGAACTCACTGTTCTGGTCGAGGAACCCTTTCACACGAAATATCTTCAGAATCTCCTTCACACAGCGGGGTCAGGTAGGGTCCTCCGGCCAAACAAGATTCTGAAAGAGTACTTCGTCGCGTCCCAGCTCCTGGATAATCCTGCGAGTGACGTCCTTCGCATCGCTTGCGGGCATCTCAAAGTAGCCCTTGTAAGCTTCCTCACTGTCCTTAATCTGACCCTTTGGCTGAAGGTCGGCCTTGAGTTTGCGGGCCTGCGCTACCACTTGGTTTTGGTACTCGTCGTTGTCGGTCTTGGCTATGATGCCTCGCGATTGGGACCTTATCCATCAAAAATTAGCCACAATCAATGGTATGACTCTCCTTGCTCACCGATTTATATGACCTTTGTTTCAGGTGGAAAAAGGGCACAAATGAAGACATTGTATGTCGCAGAAAGTGTTTGAATGGCAGGATGAGGACACAAGCAGAGTTGGTTGTCAAGATGTAGAATGCACAGTGGCGGGGCGCAGGGACAGGATTTACCGAAAGGTTTATCGATGGGATGACAAACAAACATGAGTACTATTGCAAGGGGATACCGCGATAGAAGCAGATACTTACGATTATTATTTTTTCAGAACTTGAATTCAAACACCAGTGCATTGGTGAGTAAGGAGCATTGCGACCGTCGCTCGATATCGAAGTCTTGTCATGACGCGACACATGGGTGAAGCCCATAAGGCGGAAGAACATGATTGGTGGAAAGCGCATGCCGGGCCCCTCCAATCACGGTCCGAACCCTAAATTATGGTCATTCTTTTCGACAGTTGTTCACATGCACGCACTTCATATGATGTGTTATCAAAAGGTGGAAAAACATGCAATGAATTTTGATTTAAATGACAATGCATTATCTTAGTTTTTTTCAATAATGAAGTATAAAGTCACCTTGAGTCATTTGTAACCGCCAGACAGGATAGGACAACTTGTGAAGTGATGGGAATGCGATGAACAACGGAGGTGATGGCATAAGCTTGATGATTTGTAATATCTGTGCAAAGTAAAGTTTTGGCGCTTAGCCTTACGCACAATTCAATTCAATGGAATTGTCTGGATCCAGCACAGGGCCCGTGCCCGTTCGCACCCTTACTTATTCTGCTAACAACCTCTTATGTTTATTGGAAGACAGCGCCAATGATCTTATGCAGATGTTGGAAAACAACATGCCTCTGACCCCCGCATTGCATGCCCTCCATGAATACATGTTTCTTCCACCGACATCCATCAAAGTAACTCTTGCTGCAGGAGGGGAGCCCCCCTGGGCCTGGGTTTGACCCCAATCTACCACGTGTTGCTAATGCTAATCCCGACGATTGTAACCGCGGTGGCACGTCGGTTATGAATACGTAGAGCTCGAGCTCTAGCTATGAAGGATGTTTTGCGCCCCGGAGAGGAAGAAGAGGAATGGGAGGCAGATGGAGAGGAAGTGGGGGCGGATCAGATGGGGGCGGAGGAAGTGGGGGAAGTGCATGAGCATGATGCTGGGACTCAGAGCAAGCCGTCAGTGGTCCTCAAACTCAACGATGAGGTGCATGGCATCGACGTCCCTTAGACGATCCTAGGATTTCTTGCAGCGATCAGGCTACCGCAATCATTGCTGAGCTCGCAGCCGCACATTGTCTCTCTTCTATTCACGATCCACTTCGATGGCTTCAAGATATTGGGAATTTTGTGCAAGTCCCATCTGTGGACGATGAATCTTTGTTATCACTGGTGGTGAGGTGTAGAGGAATGATGGGCAAGGACATTCGTATCAATTTCATGATCATGATTAATTTCATGACACTTGTTTGTAAGTGTCAGAGGTGCGCCATCTAGAATCTTCACTTAGCTCGATTAAATGACACATTTTGAAAGCATCCGCCTCAAGACAGGCTTACACCTGAAAGGGATTTATGAGAATGAAGTCAAAGACCGCCCTTCAGAGACGAAGGTCACTTATCGCACTTTTTTGGGAGTGGCATGCTACTGGTAGCAAGTTCATTGCCATCGCATGTGGTGGCTCCATATATGCTTTAGTACTCATCGCAGGCCTTGGTCTTAGAGTGTCCATCGCATCCATGGTTGGAACCACGCACTTACATCTAGCAGACATGCTACGATCACCTCCAAGGGGTAAGCGGACCTTTTGTCTTGGGCGATCAGACTACTAACCATGTATGTATAGATTCTCCTCAAAGAAAAGCTGATTCTTGAAACGCATTGTACCCACCATCGCACGCATGCGACTCTCCCATCCCTTCAGTATGACCTCAATGTTCTCTCGCGCTTTGATCGAGAGATTCTCCATCTCAAAGGATATCGACTGCACAGACTTCTCAGCATCTGATCGGTTTTTTGATGCCATTATCCAAAAGTGCATATGGCATATTCATATGCGATCTATTGACTAACACAGTCAAATTTTAGCGCATTCACACCACTCCGTAGAAGTGGACATGTTTGGCGCGCTTGCATTGCGCCTGTGCCAACTGATCTTCAAAGGCTGCCTTTACACACTGTCAATCACAGTGAGCTCTATGGTGTAGGTCGTCCTTATAGTCCACCATTATCCGACATCGAGGAGGACGAGATCGCGCATGTTGTCATTGACACAGCGTTTGATCCATCATCAGCTAAGAACAAGTGCTTCAAGCCTCTCGCGACAAGGTCCTGAACACTAGCTGGAGTGCGGCGGAGAGGTTACGAGCAGAGGCGGGTGAAAGGGTGAAAAGCCTGGAAGACTTACGCAACAAGGTGGGTGTGCAAGTTCCGATGCCAATTGTACTTATCTTGTCAACAGCTCAAAACTTTCTATCGCAATGGCGTCAAGAAATTGACCTGGTGCATACTTACTAATCTCAATGCAGATCATGCCAAAGGTACGTATCTGGCTCTCCCCACACTGCTCTTGCACACTGAACTCTGGTCAGTCACCACCTAGATCTTCGAAACAAGGATGGGTCGTGATGGCGTTTGTATCTACTGCACTTTCCCACCCACATACGCGCTTCTCTGGAAGTCAATTTACTGGCTGCACTCGGAAATGCAGACTTGCTTGAGATATGGATTCGCGCTTGCCTGGAGGTAGACCTTTCCAGGCTATGCACCTCTCTTGTACAATCGCCATTGTACATCGGTAAGCTAGCGGCCATGGACTATCAGTATTTTGTTGTTATATAATTACTAGGGCTTACGCTCCAACAGACGTTCAACCTTGGCTGCTAGAGAAGGAAGGAATGCGCACAAACCATGGTCAAGTTATTCCCTACATATCCCAGGACTTACAACAGCACAGACTCGTATACGGAACAATCTCAAAGGTGTACGGGGAGTTATTTGAGTGGGTAAGACAGTTGGTAAGTTCGGTGAAATCTGCGTAGCATCCAAGCGCTAAATTGTTTCAATGGTAGATGGAGAATTACCTACAAGAAGAGTTCGAAATGCTGATGGAGGTCGCCTCAGTTTTGCCTGGCAACGCTCTTCCCCCCGTTGTTCCTTTCATTTCTCTAGTGATCAACATCAATGTTCGCACCAAAGCTCATAGAGACAGCGGTGATCGTCATCTATGTTTGGTGATACCTATTGGACACTTTGAGGGGGGGGCCTTGTGCTTGTTGGAGAATGGGCTAGTTCTGGAGTTGCGCAATGGTGACATAGCTATCTTCAGATCTAGTGAGGTAACCCATTTCAACCTAGACTACAGGGGGGGAGGGCGTCCTTGGTTTTCCAGACTGACAAGGAGTTTGCATCATGGATTAGGAATCAAAATGGATGGGTAGACAACAATACTATGCATTCTTTTGTATAACTTACACTAGAATTGCAATGCACCAGATTCTGTAGACCTTTTGTTACGTTACATGCATGGTCTCATATAAGCAGGTTACATTTTTACACGAACCACTTTTCTCACTACTACCCTATCATCACTATGCGAGTGAAAGGCAAAGGCAAAAGACCGCCTTCCCCTACTTCCTCAGCTCCTCCTGCTAGTAATAAAGGCAAGACAAAAGCAAGCAAAGTTATAACTGATGACCAGTATGACGAATTCCTGAAGTTTCAAGCTCAAAAAAGAAGGAAGCTGAACTCAATCATCGCAAAGGTTAGTGATGCTTTTCACTAATGTAATGATATTCAAATGCTAACTAATAGAGCATTGAATTAGGTTTGAGGAAGAATGTTGACGCCATGCTAGATGAAGAAGAGAGTAATACTGAGCATGAGATTACGGAGCATAACAAGAGGAAAAAAGGTGCGTAATCAACAAGATTTTGTGTGTATGATAACATCACCCATGATATAGTGAGCAAGAAGGCAAAACCTATGGACACAGATGAAGAAGTAGAAGACGATGCCAATCCTGATGATATTTTGCCTCACTTGGACCCTAAGAAAAAGAATACGCCCATAGCCAGTGAAGGTAAGTTATCATTGACATATCAGCTAGTATATTTGAACAATCATGTGTTTTAGATTCAGATCATTCGCGTCACCCAGAGGCAGATTCAGCAATAGACAGACGTAGCTGGAGAGCAGTCTGTGGTTAAGAAGAGAGGCAATGGTGTACGTCTGCTATACTTAATTGACTTCATAGCTAACTAATATTACATCTAGCTAATAGAAGTCAAGGATGAGTCGCAAGATGAAATGGCTGTCAGGCGTCGCAGAAGGGGGGCCAATAAAGGTGAAGTCAGACCACCTACTACCCTTGCATCTTTAAAAAAAGATGGATGCGGACCTTTGGTGGATCTTGCTCATCAACTGCTGAGAGTAAAAATTGCCCTGGAGAACGCCTTTCCTGGTCCTTCTGTAGATGTCCAGGACGCCTTTGCCTGGAACTGTATCAAGGAGGCTGGTAAAGAATCAGGCTCCCCAATGAAGGTTATGTTTGATCGCATTAGTGAAGATGATACACTCAAAGGCAGGGCATTGGCATATGTAAGTTCACTAATTTTTTATGAATACTTACTGACGCTGTTCTTAGGTATGGTCAGGTGCATCTCAGTTAAGGGGGGAGTTGGCTAGGAAGGCTAGAGAGAATGTGATTTTCATGTTGCAGCATTTACGTCCCAAGGAAATAGGTGATGTCTTTTCAGGTTATATATTTTTAAATCTAATCTCAACATTGTCTTCCTTCCTCAGCCGACATAGCTAATTGGGTTATATCTACAAGAAAGGAGCCGTTCCTTAGTGGTGAGATGGACATTAAAGTACGCCATCTACTTCTTACCTTTGTATATGTATACTGACTAGACGTGTATTCAGGCCAAGACCTTCAACAAGAACCTTCCTTTCCGCACACACCTCATCAAGCAACTTCTCATGGGCCAATTTTTTCAGGGCGCTGGTGCTGAAGGATTGCTTTACAAGGAAGAATTTCAAAAGCTTCCTGATAATCTTATTGCGCTTTTGGCAGCTTCAGTAAGTTTTATTATTCAATAATATTTCATACTAACCTTAACGCATCTTCAGATAGAGTGTGCATACAAAGGCATGCTCACAGGTACACCAGTTGTAGTAGAGTTCAAGGAACCAGTGTTTCAACCAAGGTGCATATATATTTTACTTTTTTGGATATTTTTTGGTTATATTACTGAACGTCATACATAGACATCAGTACTACTTGTCTAAACTCACTGAGTATAGCCTTAAGACTCCAGGCTATATGAAGAAATTGAGAGATGATCTGTGGACTGATATTGGGTACGTGTTTTGCGGTTTTAAAATCATATGATCTTGTTACTAACACTATGATAGAGAGGCTTGTCGTTTCCAGCTTAGAGAAGAGGGAGGCGACAGTGATGAATCTGATGTTGATTTTGATGCAATGGAGGAGTATGCTAGGCCAATGTCTGGTGTAGCAAATGTTGATGATGCTGTCGTCAACTGATATACTAGATTTTGTAAAATAAATATTTGACAAATGTATCATCTGGATGACGCAATGAATTGATTGAGATATGGAGCTATATAGAAATGTCATAGGTCTGTATAACATCATATATCAAGAGGATACAGAAGATATAAGGGTCAATGTAGCCTGGTATAGATGGTTATAGTCATACAAATGATCCTATTATGATGAATATAATTTTTTAGACAGACTATATGGTGCTATACCCCACTATAACGTGCTCTACAGGCCTATATAATTGGGGACTTAGCTATGGGGCTATAGGTCCCATATGGTCTATGGGGGGCTATAGGGCACTATACTGGGCTATATAGAGTTAGCATATTTTCCTGATGCGGAGAACCAGAATATGAGATATCCGAAATCCTAGACTTGAAGCTAGACCATTGTAGACGTCAATGCCAACTCTTATACCTCATCCCATGGTCCGGATATGAAGGAACGGACGAAGAGACTTCATGGTTACTAGCCACGGAACTCGGAAACGCGTCCAATCTAGTCTCGGCTTTCCACACCGCATATCCAGACAAACCCGGTCCTATTGCTATACAATGAATACAAAACGGATATACAAGTACATTAGTAGCAGAGAAAGCGGATCCAGAAATCCTTAGCCATCCATCTCCATGTCCCCAGCGGATCCGGATTCATCAGCGTCCTTCTCAGTGACCTTGGATTGGGCTGCCTCGGTGATCCGAATTCCATTCCGGATCCCCTCAAGAAGGATGTTCTGGAACTCCCTCTGCTGCTCCAAAATGCCTCCAAGTTAGTATTCATCCTCTCCATAGCAGCCCTACTCCCTTCCGCCGCTCCGATGCTCTGCTGGAGTAATCCGTTGGTCTGGACCAGCTCCGCTACAATGTTGTTAGCAGCAGCAACCCAGGCCTGATCATCATACTCCACTTCCACCTCATCCGCTACTGCCATCTTCATATCCGGATCCGGAGTCGGACTCTGCTGGCGCTTCTTACCCTTGCCTCTCGGAGATGGGTTCTCAGCAGCGCGTTGCCTCTTCTTAGACTTGGAATCCTTGACAAGTCCAGGCCTTCCAGGGCAGGTAACCTTATCCTTCTGGCACAGATTGCAAGCCTTGATCTATCCGAATGTTAAGAGTCACGGATCCGAAAAATCAAGGACGACTCACCAAGGAATTGCTATCGGCATCGGACCATAGACAGATCCGATTCTTCTTAGCGCAACGAGTACAAGACCCATCCTTATCCACTGAAATAGCGCGAGTCTACGAATCCGATAAGGAATGGATCCGATAAGCCACGGATCCGATGGTACAAATCATAACTCACCATTTCCGCTACAATAGCCCTGCGCCTAGTCCTCCTCCACTTCCCTTCGGATCTCGGCCTGTTCAATCTTCCTAATCCCATCCAAGTGTTTCCGTTCTGCCTCCTCCTCTTGTTGCTTCTGCTTTTCAGCCTCTTCCTCCTTCCGAACCTCATCCTCAGCAGCAGCCAGCGCGGCCTGTACATCCGCCAGAGTCTGCCTAGCGGTCTTCTTAGAGCCGGATCCGTTATCAGCCATGTTTGAGTTAAGCTAGTGGTAGGGAAAAAGTGGGGAAAGGAAGGAACACCTGCAATGCTTTGGCATCCATATATCTGTCGAAAATCTGAACTCAGCAACTTCTCCCATCAACTTCTCTTTTGTCTCGCACTCATACCATCCGTTCCAGATCGCTGATTCTCATGCCTCTAGGGATCGGCCCTAAGGGGGGGATACTGTCATATACCATATTCCCGGGTACAGATCCGAAGATCCGGATCTCAGATCCGATCCAGATCCGATGGACATATCCGTCGTCTGGTCCACAGATCCAATCTAATCCTTGTTTCATGTCCTGTTCATATAACTCTAACTATCGTTCATCTCCTTTCGGCATTCCTGTACACCGGTATACCGGTTATCCTTTACTTCCGTTATGCTTACTGATCCGCTACACTTACTGATCCGCTTTAGCTTAGACTTCATTCCCGGTTATGATACGTTATCCGTCCGACTTACCAATATGCTGTACACATACTTTGCTTATACTTCGTACATAGCCTCGCATCCTTGCTTATTGATCATTCCGTTAGTTATCCGTAGTATATAAACCCTTGTACATGCGCTGTAGCAGATCAGTTCGAATATCATCTTAGATTGCACTCATTCTGTCTGGACTCCAAGTCCCTCCGTTATCCATCCGGACTTGAGTACAATACTCTTGTCTACTCCGAGACTTAGGATTGATTCCTATAGTCTATATATCCGTCTCTGTCTCGGACAGTCCTCGCCTGCTAGTTTCTAGTTCGGATCCGATCCGGATTAGCCGTTACTATATACGTTCAATATCCGGAAGCCATAACGGATCCGTTACGAGACTTATCTGTCTCAATATACGCGATACTCTAGTACTCTGAAATAAGGGGCAAGACTCGGGAAAGGGGCACAGTGCACGAGCTGAGGCCGAAGCCCTTCGGATCCGATACTACTTGAGTTCGGTCTTAACATTATGCCACCATGAATATTCTGGAATGTTCTTTTGCACCTGCTAGAACATTCTGCTCCAGTTTTGGAATATTCTTCTCACATTCTGAAGTCATTACATCACCTTTTTACTTACATAATATTCCCACACAAAATGTATATAAGGAGAGCCCATTCTCCCCCCAAAAAAATAGATCTCCCACTTGTTGCATTCAAGAACCTCCCACTTGAGCAAATTGACTCTCACCTAAGAAGCTTCAGTCTGAACAAATTGCTGCTTACAAAGCCCATTTCCTTTGTAAGAACTGTCCAGACAAGTGCAGGGAAAGTGTTTCCCTTGAGATTACGTAAGTTTCTCGCGATAGAAACCCAGTTTTGTGAGACCAGTGTTCTCACCACGTAGTGTTTACTGACCAACACGAGCTTTGGTCACCATTGTTATTTGTGAGACCAGCGTTCTCACCAGGTATTTGTATACTGACCAACACGAGCTTTGGTCATTGTTGTTATTTGTCATTGTTTTCTATTTGTCATTTGTTGTTATTTGTGAGACCAGCGTTCTCACCAGGTATTTGTATATTGACCAACACGAGCTTTGGTCCACGTAGTCACATTTGAGACCAGCTTCTCAACAGTTAACCGTATATTCAGGAAACCAGTTCAAGTGTCTAGATGGTATATCCTAGACAATCCCATAGTTTCAATCAGAGATAATAAAGCTCTGGCTAATTAATCTAACTGATTGGTTTAGCAAGCCTCCCAAAACTCACACGTTATCTACCACGAAAGAAGAAAAGTCGTAGACCATGTTAATGAGGAATGGCAAGAAGTCTTATCCAGTGTAATTGTGGTGTCATTACATTCTTACACGTATTTATATAAGACCCTCGGTTATTAAGACACCAGCACGTGCGATGATATTGTTATCCGACGTGATTCTTTTAAACTCCCCACCGTGCAGCTGTGCTAGAAAAGAGTGCCGAATGGCTGTCCAAGGTGAGCAGGCAATCTCAACGCTCGCGCCACAGCCATCAGCCAGCTCCGTGTCTACAGGAGGCAATGTATTATCCAATGTCGGAGACCCCGGCTTAGACCAATCTTCCATGGTCTGTGTATCGTTTGCAAAGTCAGGCAGTTTGAGATTATAACGATTCATGGATGGATGTCTGCCAAGTAGGCCTTGCTGGCCAGAATTGAGTCAGCTTGCTTTGGTTTGTTGTGCACAGTCTCCATCTCAGTTGCCACCAAAATGGCTGACAGAATCTTAGTGTAACTTGTAGCATTATCATGTATGCCTCCAAGTGTTTGATTGTTTAAAATAAAAAGGAGGTTGAGAAAACTACTACCTGCATCTTCCCAGCTGAAATTTGTCATTGTTTCTGCAGGACAGAGCAAGGTGAAAGTTGGCAACACCAAACCCTAGTGCGGAATCACAAATCAAAACTTGTGTGTCGGAAATGCCCGGACAAGGACCCCGTAAGAACATAATGAGAGATTTGCAGCGCTTGATTATAACATTGAGTCTGCGTTGTCACTGGTCAGTGTTTGTCCATGCTGCTGCACACTGTTTCAGATGATTTAAAAGCTCAAATACCTGTTCTATGTCGACGTGGGCACTCTGTCAAGCATATCTGCCATCTACTTGGAGTAAAAAAGACTATTGTATACAAAGTGTACAGCTCTTTCCTGCAACTTGGAGTATCCACAAGCCAGCAAGAATACGGGCCGCG